AACAATGAGGAATATTTGACAACTTCCCTGAAGCTATACGTAACTGAAGTCGATAGCTGAAAAGCTGATAACTGCAGCCGGTAAATGTAAGTATTCTTGCTGGATCGATAGGCCACGCTAATACAGAATTAAAGAGCCACTTCGCAATTTTTCGACTAACCTTTGTTGATGGACACTACAAGTTGAAAAAAATTTTTTTGGAAGTTGCTGGTTTCATTATAACGCTTACAAAGAAGGTAGTTTTGGAGTTTCTTGGCAAGTCTAATCAGTAGTATTTTAGAGGAGGAAGTCGATCAGGTATGTCCTTTTCGGACGTTTAACCAGCGATTCGAATCTCTTGGATCATGGACTGCTCATGCAGAATTGCGCCGTGGTGAGTCACTCAGAACTTCTGGCTAAGCGACAGGACGCAACATCGTCATTACTTTATGATCACCTCCAGCGTTGGACTTAGGTATTAATTAGCGAGAACAAAAACACTAATGAAGCTGCATTTTTTATATCCGTCATTTTGAATGTATCTCGCTGTTTGAATTGCTTGGATGGTCGTACGACTGAGAAGGCTCAATGCTTCAAGTGAAGAATGAGAACAGACGGGCAACTTACGCAGTACCAAAGTCAAGGAGTCCTTGACTAGCTTGCGCCAAAATGTCACCACGAGTGGGCTTACATTCCGGCAGAAACTCTTCTACTTCGTTTAATCGTTTATTTGACAGTCGCTTGTCAGTAGTTGTAGTGCTTGTCCGAATCCCCATCTCGACCACGTTTGTGTAGAATCCACGCATCTGGTGTTAACAGATTAGGTGACCGAGAGCTGCTTCGTCCACGACGTCGTCGAATTCGTCTCCATAGCCAAAATCGTCTTCCTCGGCTGCTATCTCGACAGGCAAAGTCACAATTCCGCACCCAGGAGTATTGTTTCTCCTGGGTTTTCCTCCAACTTGCTTCTTCTTTTTCATGGGGACCGAAGTGCTACTTACGCGGGGCTTCTTTGACTGTATTTTGCTTCGTGGCTGCTTGCGTGACTTCATAGAGAGCGGTATAGTGAAGTTAATGTCAAGGAAAGACATGTCCCCGTCATCCTCACTACTAACGTCTTCTTTCTTGGATGCAGACTTGGTCTTACGAGATTTGGCAGCTGAAGACTTCCGATGTGACAGTAATTCACGCTGACTTGAAGATGTAGAGGGAGGTTGTGACTCCGACTCACTTGTTGTTGCAGCGATCTGTCGTCGTTTGGTCTTCTGACGAGCACAAAACTTAATGTGAAGCCGAATGTGTCGTTCTTCTCGTGCCATTGCGAGTCGTTCCCGCTCTTCTCGTCGCTGATCAGCAGTCGCCTGTCGGGTTTTTCCCTCTCTTGCACGCCGACGAAGAATTCGAAGCTGAAGACGAACAGCCTTCTCCTCACGTTCCATTAACCTCCGTTCATTTTCTTCATTCTGCATTTAAAACTGTTAGAAATGACAAGAGAAGCTTGTTCAATAAAGTTTCTTACCTCGGCTTCACGTTTAAGCTTGAGTTCGAGCTCCTGTTGGCGTTTTTCCTGGGCTCTTCGAAGTTGTAACTTTTGCTTGAGTTCTTCTTGTCGACGTAGGCGCTCTTCCCTTTCTAATTCGCTGCCAATTTCTCCAACTTCATTCGAGCTAAGACCATCGACATCACTTTTTGCAGAGGGAATTACGACAGGACGTAATCGAACTGGACATGGTTTTTGATGTGGACGTTTCTTGGGCGTCCAGCTTTGATTTATAAGCCGCAAGTCGTCATCGAAAGGATCTCCACTGTCTAACACCATCATACGCTTGGGTACAGGTAACACTGGAAGTCGTTTATCAAAGCTAGCACCTGCTGGCAACCAGTACGAGCGCTTTATTGCCGGCTCGGCGATAGGTTGCCATCCAAGTCCCGTTGAGGATCTAGCAAACGTCCTTCCAAGCTTTTCATCACTTGCAAGCGAGAAGGAAGACGCACGTGTCGTGCGAAATCCTTCAATACGATCTCGAGCCCCGTCTAATTTTCGTTTTGACGCCCCAAAATCTGCCTGTCCACTGTTGCGAACTGAGCCATGACTCGATCGGCTGGTAGGGACAGACTTGTGCTCAATATTCTCTTGTTCTCTTTCTAGCCTTCTCCTGACCAAATACCCTCGAACATGAGCTTGCAGTTTCGATATAGCATCCACGTCGGAGATGCGAAGCCACCGCAACTGTCGCCGAACGAGGCATCCACGCATGACCGCCTGAATGCGGCAGATCAAGTAGAGTACGTCGAGATAGATCAATCGAGTCATGAAGCTTCGCACGTTGCATTGAATCACAATGGCTGCTCGGTGTTGGAGTTCCGCTTCTTGTCGCTGTCGTCGCTGCTCTTGGACGTAAGATCGAGCAACAACCATGCGAACGATACTCTGTATACTGCGAGCTGCCGAATCTCTGCGCTTGATCTCATTAGCGCGTATGTTTCGTGCGGAGCATCTCCGAATGCACCTTGAAATAATCACTGATGAGCAGTTTTGCTCGTACTCTTGGCGCTGTGCTCGTAGTCTGCAACTCAATCGTCGAGCTAAAAATCCACGAGATAAAGTCTGGATACTCACAGCAGCCTCTCGCTTTTGTTGATTTAAATAAGCAAAATATCGGCGATAAGCAGCTTGAACCTTTGAAGCGGCATAGTTCAGTCGATTTCGAAGACGCTTCGCCTCTCGAAGCTGTTGACGATGCAGATTTTGAGTAATCTCGGCGATTTTCTTTATCTGCCAGGTCAGTACAACACAATCACGCATTAATACCCAATTTAGATGCAGCAAGCATGCCACCTCATTATCGTTCACCTCATTGTCGATCTTCTGCTGCTGCTTCTCGATCGCATTTGCTTGTCGTTCAAGCTTCCGCTCGGCTCGCTCTTTAGCTGCAGATGCTGCTGTTAATGTTGTATCACGGAAGTTGCCGTGGTGGCGCTTAGTGAACTTGTTTGAGATCCCTAAAACAGTAGAATCTGGTCAACTTCCGGTCGACGAATACAAGCAAATGACCTTCCAGACGTACCAGCATGGAACATTGGCGGAACGACGTTCATGCTGGAGCCATCCTCTACGCGCTCCATCTTCACCCTTGTTGCTGTCCCGTCGAAAGAAGCACAATCAGCCAAAAATACGCTTCCGTCGGTCAAGAAATTGGCAGTGCAACAACGTTCACAGACTCCATATGGATGACGCTATCTATTCTGCGAAACAAAAAATTAGATTCACTCAAATCGCCGTTCTGTTTAGCCCTGGGTGATCACTACGAGTTGAGCAAGAATGAATGAGGTCAGCAAGGCTCGAGCATCCTCTTTCTCTGTCTCAACTAGTGTCTTTCCGGTCTCTTTCCACAATGTGATGCGGGCGTCAAGGGATGGAATACTCATGAACACATCTGCATCTCCCTGGCCCTGTGAAATGTACACCTGGGCTTGTGGATCATGCTAAGCACATTCGATAATAAACTGTGAGTGAATATCTTACGTGGATGCATTGGAATAACCATGACGCTTACCGTTTTCACTTGTTTCTCCAGCTTATCTTCGTCCACTTGGCCCATGAGCAGGTTGCTCTTTTCCTTGTAGACAATGCTCTGAAGTGCATTGTTGGAATCTCCTTCTGAGATCGACGAGGCCTTACGTTTTCCCGTACTCTTAAGTTTCTCGTCGTTGACGTCCGGTGTGACAGGATCAACGGGAGGCTCCAGCACAAATGCTTTCCGCTTGACACGGAGTACGCCACTTACACAAGCTGCAGCTTTCCCATTTACCTCGGTAATAGTGGCCAGCGCAGCAAGCTATACAAGATAAAACAAACGCAGAGTATCAGCAAATTTTTAATCCATGAGGTCGTACATAGCAATGCTGTACCTTGGGGTCGAGTCTTCCATCGAGATACTTGGACGTCTTCTCGACAACGATTGGTTCAAACTGCTTCATCGGGAATGTAAGCAGTTCCGTCTTGGATTTTGCAGCAGTAAGCTCATGAAGAGGAAGAACGCGCGAAAAGTGCGAAGACATCTCAGCTCCGTCCATCGCACTTGCAGGCGGCACGACGGTATACTCGTACGGAACGATGAGGTTGTGGGGACAGCAGCGCGCGATAAACTGGTTAGCGTCGCCGCAGCTTAATCGCGGGTCAATGGGACACGAAATCTTCTCAATCGGAAGGTCCTGGAATGGAGCAAAGGCTTCCGTAGCGTCGATAGACGGATCTACAACAACATAATCATTACACATCAAGCATATCCATGGTCTACTTTGGTAAGCGCGTACCGATCAGAAGAACCCCATTGCGACTCTCGTTACCCAGCATCTGGATTAATTCTGAAGCACGTCCGAACTTGAGAGAGGGGTGGCCTACGAAAATAATACTGCCATTCTACACACCAAGTTAGTTTACACATACTCTAATCAAATTCTCAAACTAAGAGGAATATACCTGGAAAGTAGCAGCGGTGGCAGCTGAAACGTCAGTGACAGCGTGGAACAGGTTGCTTTTCAATAGAGATTCGTGCAGGAACGCATCTTCACCGGCGTACAACTTCTCGATCTTCTTCTCGCACAGCCACTCTGCTCCAAGCTGTGTCAGCTCCATGACACGCGATGCAAAATCCGAGATAAAATACATGGGGACGCTCTGTTTGTTGTGAACACACGCCGTATACAACGCTTCCACGAGATCAAATACCACGCCACATGGAGACGTAGGCACGATGCAAACGCCGCCACGCTCAAGCACCCTCGACACTCCACTAAGTACACGCTCTACCATGCGTTCCGTGTTGGCATGAGGATCCCGATCCGGCTTTAAATCTGTCAATAGCAGCGTATCACAGTCCACAAGAGGCAGCAAGTCCAGCTCCTTTGGGTGACGATTATAATCTCCCGATGCTGCAGCCACGTACGCCAATCTGTCGTTGGGTCCTTCCACGAGCCAAATACTGGCCCCTAGGCTAAACCCCGAGCTCAGCGCTGTAATTTGCACGCCGTAGGCTAAGGAGACCACCTCACTGTACTCCACACATTGAATTTTCTTGCAACATTCCTCAATCTCCTTCAACGAGGACATAGGGATCTCCTTTTCGTCCGTCACACCTTCAATAGTGAAGATAGCCGAGTCATCCCCTTGATTCAGAGCTGCTAGCTCCTCTAGAAACACTCGACCGAAGTCGAGAGTGAGTTGTGTGGCATAGATTTTCCCTTTGAAACCTAAAATTTCGGTCAAGAACGGCAAAGCCAGCAGAGTTTGGTGGTTCGACAGCAACACCACGTCCAGGGCCCCCACGTCGACGGAGCTCAGTGCTGGCAATTGTAGGCGATAGATAGTGCCACCGCCTTGTTTGGGGCTTTTCTGGAGTGACTGCATCTTGACTCCACAGTCCAGAAGCATCTCATAGCCGCCAAAGCTCAAAAAATGGCACAATCCATCGTTCGCGCCGCCTAATTGAATCTGTAGAGCGTCGTTGGGAGAAATAAAAAAGAGGGTGAGGTACAGCAGACAAAGCGTTACTTGGAGAGCATGAACATGTATAACGGGGTTCGCTAGGAGAGTGGAGAGAGGCCCTCTCCGAATGGCAGTGTCCTACCACTTTCATGTTGGTACAATGGGGATCACTTGGAGAGTGGAAAAAAAAAATAGAACTAATTAAAAATGTTAAAAAATCAAAATTTTAGTAATGCTTTTTTTCGAAAAATAATAATATAATATCATTTTATAAACATAGTAATACAACAAATTGCGAAACCGAAAGCATTTGCGAAACATTTGCCATCAATTGTAAGTAAATACTTATAGATAAGTTAAAGTTGTTCGAGATGCCTAACTTTCCCATCGAGGAACAGTAGCATGTCGTCTTTAGCATCCAGAGCTTCTTTCAACTTCATCACGGTTTTTCTGCAAATATTCACAAATCAGAATGAGTTTTTAAGGTGCATCAAGAGCTACCTCTACAGCATACCTTAGTTGAATAACTTCAATCAGTGCCTTCTCTTTCTGTCCTGCTATTGTTTGGTCATCGCAATCTCCCTTAGCGGAATTTGCTTCTTGGGGATACTCTAATTCCTGTTCCAAGTCATCTGTGCCCTTGCTCGTGTCGTGATGTTCTGGGGCATGATCAGACTCTTCGACTGACAAATTGTTGGAAGGAGGCGAACTCTCACATACGACTAGCAATTCGTTAGTAAGAACAGTCAGGTCCGTCAGAGTCTTCATCATCGACAATCGTTCCTCGTCTCGAGCTTCGATTTGCGGTTTTGGGATCGTTGAGGTCTGGTTTGTGGATAGCGTGTCTGTAATCTCTTGGTTGCCTGATATCACTTCATCGAACCACGCGTCAAGACTGCTCAGGTCCTTATTCACAGTTACTTCGGTCTGGGTCAAATCGTGTAGATGTTCGTCTCGTAGCTGAGAGGATTCTGTGTCAGCAAGTCGCATCATGTACGCTTCTTTTGTCTCAATTAAGTGGCAATTAAGCCGCTTGATACAAACCCGTAATACTCCACTCTGCGTCTCTGCTCGTATCCATCGACTAGTGCTCGCCTTAAGATCTGTCCTGCATTCTTCCAGTTGCTCAGTCAGACCGTAAGCGATTTCTTCCTGTTCGCGCACAGTGCGTTTTGCCTGTTTCTCAACCTTCCGAATGCGAGCTTCGGCTTCACAGAGGGCTACGTCCAAGTCTTTCGCCTTGCCAACCAATTCTTTATTCATCGCAAGAGATTTTGTCGACAGAGTCTCGACTTGTCCTTTGAGATCTCGAACGGTGCTGTAATAGTCCATCTTGATCGACAGTTGTCGAGCCTGATGCTTCTGGAAATCTATCGTTTGTCGCTGCAAAGCCTCGTGTACGGCCATGCATTCTTCGCGCTCACTTTCCTGCTGCCTCTCCAGTCGAGAAAGCGCCGCCGCTGCCTGTTGAGAAAGTGTATGGTACGCTCTCGTTTCCTGCTCCAACGCACCCTGCTTGACTTGGCACTGACGTACGAGATCGTCACACTCTGCTTCAACATCCTGGAGTCTTTGCAGTGTTTCTGTCTGTTCCAAAGTCAGGGTTTCGATGGTTGAGCTCTGCAGCGTAGAGTGGTCGAGTAGTTCTGCAAGCTCGTCGCGCAGCGAAGCAAGTTCCAGCGTTGCCTCGTGCAGATCAACACGCAAGCGATTCATCTCTTCTGTTTCGCGAGCATCGGACCCCACAAGCTGGCACTGAAGCATTTTTTCACGATTAAGGGCACTCGCAAGCGTTTCTTCAGTCTGGGAGAGCAACAGCATACGCTCGTCGCTTTCTTGTACTGATGCTGCAAGGTTTTCTTCCAGCTCTAATAAACGATGTTTATCCTGCCCAGCGCTCCATTCTAATACAGAAATCTGGTCGGATTGAATCGATACTTCGTCCTTGAGAGCTGTGTGCTTAGTTGCCAAATCCTCTGCAAGCATCTCGGCTGATTCTCGTTGCTTCTGCGCTTTAGTCAAGCTCCTTTCCAGGGATTCAACTGCCTCTGTTCGTAAATTACATTCGGTTTCAGCTCGACAAACCTTCTCCAAAGCACATGATAGCTCATTGTTTGCTTTCGAAAGTGATGCCGATAGCTCATCGTTCTTTGTCTGGGCGTTCATAAGAACTGTATTGACATTTTCCCACCTTTCTTCAGTTTTGATGAACGCGGTTTCCTCCATTTCTCTGAGTCGACCTTCAGCATGAGCAAGCTGATGTTTCAAATCGTCCAACTGCAATTGCATTGTAACTAAGTTTGCTTCAACCTTGGACCTGGCATCTTTCTCATCGGAGAGGTGCTGTTTTACACTTTCCAGTTCAGAATTTTGCTCCTGGTTGAGGCGTTTGCACCCAACAAGCTGACTCTCAAGCACTTGGCCATGATTGTGAGCCTCTTCAAGCTCATTTTGCAGCTTGACCAATCGCTCCTCCATCGCGACCACATTATTTGCAGACGATCTTCCTTCGTCCAGCCCACCACTACACTTAACAGCCAATTCTGCATTGCGCTCCTCCAGATCTGCAATCCTGGCAGCCAATTTCCTGTTCTGGACAACTGCAGCTTCTAGCGCCTGAGCTTGTAGCAACCGTTCACGCTTCTTATGTCCGGACAAGTTCCACACGATCTTTATCCTCTCCGTCATCACAAGTAGGCCCGTGGCCAAGAAGAGAACAGCATCAACACTGGCTCTGTTTGTCGCTGAGCCGTCGCTGTCTCGAGTAATCTCGGGTAGAAGCTGTCGTCTTAGTCGATAGCCGAAATGATCCAATTGTGTCTCGAGCTGATGTCGTCCAGCTACACAAGCACTCGACGCACTAGGAAGCTGATCGCATAGTTTAGGAATAATCTGCATACAGAACTCGCCTACCATTGTTTCCAGAAGTTCAAAAGCTGACAAAAGTGGCGCAGATAGCGGATGTAGTTGGACCGCCACCATCAAATCTTCAACGTTCCACTCCATCGCGATAAATCTCTTATCCAGATACCGAAGTAACTCGCATTCTACCCCGGTTCCGTCTCTTATCATCTTGCTGCTGAGACTATAAACACCCGGACCTAGCGCTCTTCGGGCCATGTCGATCGAGTCCAAGCAAAGTGACAGCTTTGACTGAATGCTGCTCTCTTCATCACGAGGTTTCGGCGAGCACGAGGATAAACCGCTCTCTGATAACTTCAACTCGCTCTCTTCAGCATTATCCCAGCCGTCAGGTGATACCAGCTCTTCCAGTGGAGGCTCGTCGCTGCTGGAGTTGTTGTTTAAGGAAAAATACGGCCTATCGAACTCCGAGCTTGAAGCCAGTTGTTCCAAGAGAGATGAAGCTGCCGTAGTTGCTTGCCGTAGTGGTGAATTAGGAGGTTGTGGAAACAGGAAATCTTGCACCACCGAGCAGCAAATCGCATCGGTAGCAACAACCGCCGCTACCACATCGTGTACACGATCTGCTGTCCGTGTTTCAGCTGTTGGCATGCGTGTGTGCAGTGGAGGGCAACCTGCTTCCTGTCCAATTGATCTTTCAGGCAAAACTACGCCTTCAGTCTTGATATCGTCGTCGTTACCCTTGTTGCGTTCTCGATTCACTGGTAGCCATTTCGCAATCTTAGTGTCCGACGATACAAACTCTCTCCATCGATCAAAGGCACGACACAGACGTAAACTCTGCCAGCGGTGGTGGATAGCAACTAGGTTCATCAGGCGCGCACTTTTCAGTGAAACTAGGTCTTCAGAACTTTTTTTCTCCGTTCGTTCGACACTCAATTCCATCGATAAGATTCTTTGTTTCAACTTAGTACCGTTATTCTCCGTCATGCTTACCATCTCCTCTGCTTTTGCTTCGAGTGGAGCTTGCGTTGTTGTTAAATCTGCGTCGTCGCATGATTCACAGCCCGGACATTCGTCGTTGTGCTCGGGGACTTCATTATCCACCGTATGCGGAATTTTGGCTTCGTTCGACGCACAGAGGCTGGATTTAAGCTCGTTGCCGTCTCGTAACAACCTCAGAGCTGTATTTCCACTGGCATCCGCTTGTAGTCGGCCGGTGCTGTGCAAGCTCCTCGCACGTTCAATACACTTGAGTGTAGCAATTGACTCTTCGTAGTGGGCACAACACGGGCTGATAACCCCGACCATAATAGTCTTAGCCCGTCCACCAAGACAGTCTTTCAGAAGCCGCGTCAACACCGAGTTTCGATACGGAGCGAACGTTCTCTGGTGTTGAGAGTCATGGTTTTTGCGCTTCGCTAGAGCACCGACAACACTTGCGAGTGTCGCTAAGGAGCGGTTGACACTTGAAGCTTCGCGCAAACGTGATCCACTGGTAGCAGAGTGATCGACCCGCTCGCTGCCAGCTAAATCCACTAAGCACAGCTTGCTCTTCCTTGGAGCCTCACTTCCATGTTCATGTTGTGTGAGTGAAATAGTTAACACGGTGTGTGAACGAGTAGGGCGGCCACTTTTATGCATGGATGTCACCGAACTCATACGATTGCCCTCTTCAATCAATTCCAAGAGTTGGGTGTGACTCGTACATTTTACACGCTGTGCTCGCTCAACGAAAGCACCATTTTCTGGGTGCTCTCGTATCTTAAGAGGTTGCTGTACAACAACAACAGCACACGTCATGAGCTGGTATCGCTGAAAGTTACAAAGAGTACGACTCACCTTGACTGTGGCTTGAGAAAGTAGGTCATAGACTCTTTCATCGTAAATTTCCACGTAGCTCATGAGTACCGTGCATGAGTTTGCTGAACATTCTCTTTCATCGACGTCACCGAATAAACCCTGGCAGATTCTTGGGATTAAACCCCGCCGCTCAGATGCGCTACCGTTGCTATTAGCTCTGGTTAGCTCGCCGCTTCCCATCATGGTGTACGTCTTCCCTGCCCCGGGTTGTCCATATGCGAAGACGGAGCAGTTGCGGCCCTGTAGCACGGTTTGAAGCGCAAGCACACCAAGTTCATCGTAGATTGTGCTTTGCGTGGCTTCTTGATGCGCAGGCAAACGACCACAAGACCAATAGCTATAGTCAAACCAGAACTCTTGCGTGAACTGTACAGGGAAGTGTACGGCTTCTGTTGGCGTGCATCGGGCACGAGACACAGGCGGGAGTGCTGTCGGATTCACAATTCTGGTCACCATAACGTCGTCGTTCGTGCTCATGTCGACAATAACTCGATAGCCGCTCTTCTTCTCCGACAACAACATGGGTCGCACCCGAACTGCAGTAATTGTGGCTTGTTCAGTGGTTACGAAGCTGCTACATTCGCTGGATGCCACACTCGACGTTTCCGCAGCCACCTCATTAAAATCCCCACCGTCGTCGCTGTCATCCTGATTATTGCCCTCTATCTTGTGTTCTTCATCCTCTGCACTGACCACCCCGCTCATGAAATAGCGCGCCTTGGCCCATGATGAACCATACGTGCCAACACGGCTGGCACTGCTGTGTCTATTCATGACAGGGATAATAGTGACGCCAAAATGAAGGTTGTCTTTTCTGGAATGCAGTTTCGCATGCCAACGCCTTGATCAATGTGTGTCTTCAACTGGATCACCTTCCCATGCCGACAAAAATATCACGGTTAATTAATGGAGACGTACCACAAACACGCTCGCACATACTCTGCATAAACTCATAATCGACAATCAATGCAGCTTGTTTACTCACAACGACATCGGGGAGATGCTTACACAGCCTCAGAAGGACCACGCTGGTTACCTAGTACCTGTCCGCTCTTTTCTGGCATTTCCCGGTCGCCTGGAGTGGTGGTTGCTTCATCACCCGATCTGTTGTCGGTCATCACTGGTGTTGGGACCGCACGACTTGTTTCGGCTGTGGTCTGCTCCACGCGTGGCGTCAGGTAGTAAGCGGCACCTGGAGGCAGACCGGTGATCGAGGCAATCGCATTGGACTTGCCAAGTGCTTCACTTGTCGCAGCTGTAGCTTGGTCAACTGCTAAGGAAGCTATGGGGACAGCATGAGCTTGCGTGGCTTCCTCAGCAACACGGTCTAATGGGTAAGAAATCACATGAGTTAGCAGTGAATACGAAGAGTATCGCAAAGACCTCATTTGATGTACCCTGGTGCCACTTCGCTTGCAAATGTGCGACCATCTCCGCCACATCCTGCAGACGCTTGTGAATCACACGTGACGGCGTGTTCCTCAGCTCTTCCAAGAGCGGCTGCATCTCCGAAGCTGCCATGTTCATTTTGTGATCATTCGCTAGCGCCTCTTTCAGCATAAACCCAGACACAGCTGCACCAAAAACCACTTAGCACAACCAACATTCATCACTCCAATCCACCGAGTTCATACTTGCGGATGGTGCGTTGATCGCCGCCGTCTTCACACTCAGTTTCGAGTCGGTAGATCCTCTCGTTGTGAATCCTACCGCTATAAAACAGCCCAGCATCAATACACGTACACAACTCGTAATAACACATTCACTCACCATCCACAGCCATCGGATCCAGCTCCGTCAGGATGCGCGCCGACGGCTCATAAGCTGCATCAACGAGCAACTAACTCATTAGCTTCTGGCAACGTTACTGCAAGCAACCATCTTCCTCACCTGCGTCGTCTCCTTGTTCCTGCTTCTGCTCGCCCTCCGGGCCTAGCAGCAGCTCATCAGGTACGGAGCTGTTGTTGGTGTAGCAGCTGTAGATCTCATCGCTGATACGGTGGTTGTGCTGGGAGATCTGGTTGCGCACGCGCACGAGCCAGCGGACTCGATTGGGCTCTCCTTCCACCACTTCGAATACCACGTCGGCCGTGATGCGGGCCGAGCAGCCCGTGTACCGGTTGTGCAGATGGGTACGTACCCCATTGCCACGGGACGGCTGAATACAGCCATGGGTGCACCAATAGGCCATGGTGGCGTACTTAAAGTCCTCCGGCACGGGGTATTTCTTGAATTTGTGCTTACTATTCCAGTACGTGGTGGTGGACGAGCTGCGGCGGCGGTACATGGTCTTCGTACGCGCCATGTAGCCGTTCCAGGCCTGAATAAACTCGTCCCACGTGGCAAAAGTCAGGGGCTCAAAGGCGGGAACATGGACCGTGACGGAGCCTCGAGACTTGGCCAGATCCTCGCGCAGCTGGAAGTTCTTGGTGCGCCGCTTCTTGACCAGCGGCTCCTCGGCGTCGGGCTGCAGGGGGCGCGGACTCGCAGCCTCTTGTTGCTCGAGCGCGGGCGAAGGTAAAGTTGAAGCTGCTACTGCGTCTTTGTTGCTGGTCATGGCGGCTTCAGTTGCGGGTGGACAGGAAGTGAGGCTGACGACTTAACCCCCCGCAACTTTAGTATCGGCTTGAACGGGGAGATAATCGTATTGCACAGGGTAACAAGTGACAGGCCATGGGGATGCCGTTTTATCTTTGTCTATTCAAGATGTCACTAATGTCAGATAAAACCTCCACCAAAACTATAATGTCCCTAACGTTTTCAGTTATAATAACGGTAGTCACTATTCTAGACGTATGGTTTATGTTCATCTGGTGTGCCAAACATAAATCTGACCGCAGACTTGTTCAGTATTCAGTTCGGGCGCTTCTTGTGCAGACAGAGCAGCGCCGTGAGTGACGGCAGCGGCAGGCGATAGAGTCTAGACAACAGACAGCCCTTCGCTCAGTGGCAGTGCATGCCCGAGCGCCAGTTCTCGGTGTCGTTTCGGCTGGTGAAACCCCCAGGATGGAGATGGAGGACGAGCTGGCCACGGGCGTGGTGCTCTCACCCACGCGCAACCTAAGTAAGGACGGCGAGATCGTGCGGCGCTGGATGGAGATGGTGCTGGGCGACAAGTTTGTGGGCGACCTCCCAGCGACGCTGCACTCGGGCGTACTTCTCTGCGATCTGATCAATAAATTGTACAAGGCGTTGGGAATGAAGAGCCAGATCAGCCCAGTACGTGCTCAGGGCGACGATATGGACGCATGGAGCAATGTGCGCGAATATATTAGGTGCGTGTCTGATCAGTGGAGCCATTAGTTGTGTAATTGTGGCGGAAGTTGAGGGTACTAACGCTACTATTGCTTTTTGGATATTGTATAATGGTTAGAGCGTGTGAGGTACTTGGAGTGGCGCGGCAAGATCTCTTCCAGCCGGAAGACCTGCTTACATGCAAGGATATGGAGAAAGGTGAGTGGTATTGTAGGGTTTGAGTGAGATGCAGTGTTAACGTGGCGTATAGTGTACAGCAATATCCTCGCATTGCAGACGGTGGCCGTGTCGCTCTCCAACCGCCGCTCGATCGATGAGCGCAGCTCCATGATCAATGCACCGGTATGTGGTTTTCTTTAATGTGTTGTCTTGTGAAGGAACTTCGCATCATTGACTCATAATATGATCGTGGGATTGTATAAAGCTACTACAGGACTGGTCTCCGATGTCCGAGCACGGTGTATTCGCCGACGACGATGATCTGGATGCAGAGGATTTGGATCTGGACTCTCCTGAAGCCGTTAACATGCTGCAGCAATCGCGATGGCAGCGGCTACTGTTTGAGTATGAGCATCAGCAACAACGGAAGGAGGAGCGAGATCGCGCGGGTGATTCCTCTGCGTCTGATGGGCTGGGTCCTCTCGCGCACGGTATTTGGCGCACGGAAGAGCGGATTCGAGCAATATTAATGCGCGAAGATCGGGACTTTGGAGCAGTGCCCGAGGAATTACACGGGAAGTTGTGGATGCTGGCGTCTGGCGCTCAATTGGAAATGAGGAAAAACAAGGGCCAGTATGAACGATTATTAGCCTCAGAATTAGAGAGCACCGAGGCGACACGGCAGATTGATGTGGATCTACACCGAACTGTTGCTGACGAGGACAAAGAGTTGTGGACCGAGGAGAAATCCAGGATGATGCGGCGGGTATTAGTCGCGTACTCGATCTACAATCCAGGTCTGGGGTATTGCCAGGGTTTGAATTATATTGTGGCTCGAAGTCTGCAATTTCTGGACGAAGAAGAAGCGTTCTACTTGCTCGTTGCTATCATTCAGCTTGTCCCGGACGATTATTACACGACAATGGTGAGTGGTTCAATGCATTTAGCAAAGAATGATGGGCTTACTTGTGTGCTAACATTTGAGGTGTTGTGTTTGTTTGTTGTAGCTGGGGCTGGCTGTGGACCAACACGTATTTGCAGACCTTGTCCGGATTCAGTACCCGGAGATTTCCGAGCATCTATCAGAGCTTGGCGGGTCTGGAATGGAGCTCTCGCTTGCTTGTACGGAGTGGTTTTTGACGCTTTTCGCTAGTCCTTGCGAAAGAGGAGTCACTTTCCAGATCTGGGATGCTATTTTCCTGCAAGGAGACGAGGTAGACATTTGCTTTTGACGGAGATGTGGCCTATTCAAGTAGTAATTGATTTTTGGGATTTGTGGTTTGTAGGTTCTCTTTAGGGTAGCGTTGGCTTTGCTTCAACAGGCAAAGGCAGATCTTCTCGCGTGTAAAAACTATGGAGATATGCTGAAGCACCTGAATGAGGTGCGTCGACAACGGTCTGAATCTCACTATTATGCATCACTGACGTTGATTTGGAATGATGTATGCTATGCGCAGCTTGGTAGAGGTGAACTCGATGCTTTGACATTGATGCAGGTTTCAAAGAATCAGGATTGTGTGATTCGTGGCCGAATCGAAGATTTCCGAGCTCACCACCGCCTTCAACTGGCATCGGGTATTGTAGCCTCTACAGTTGAAGCTGAGGATAGACGGAGCTCAACAGCAGGACGACGAAGCTCGGAGACCAGGTCAGAGCCAAGATTGAGGATATTTGGTCGCAAGAAGCCAGGCATTTTCCGACACATTGACAAGATTCCTCCTCGCTTAGCACGGTATGCAAATGTGATCAGGAACTTCGATATTCAAAATTAAAATATGCTAACATGTTTTGTGTGTGTGTGTCTGTAGAACATTCGACCGAAATCTCTCCGAGGAGTACATGGAGTCTTTACAGCGAGATCATCCCAACTTTGCGCAGTATTACGAAGGAATGCGGCCCCAGGTGCGTGTTGCGCTAGTTGGTGGCACCGACCAATGAGAAACTCACTCTAACCGATATCAATGATCTTTGCAGATTAAGGAAATGTATTGGGGATCAGCAGACAGTTATCGCCAGTGGGGCGCACGAAATGTCCGTCGAATTTCTACTGATGGTTTTGCCGTCAGCAGAACCAAGGAGGATGAAAGCCGTCACACGAAAGGAGATACCAATAGTTTGGGAAGCCACCAGAGGAGTCCGAACGGATCCAATGACCGTAGACCTGAACTGACACGAGATCGTCGCAGCAAGAGCTTCATGCACCCAAAGAAGATCCAGAGCAACAGCGCAAACAGCACCCCCAACGGTCGACCGATAAAAGATGACGAGGATGCCCAGTTGATAGGACGCTCACCGTTAGCGTGGATTCAGCGCTTTGAGGAATGGCACAAGGACATGAAAACCCAAAAAGAAAAGAAGAAAGCGGAGAAGAGACTACGTCGCAACCAGCGTTCTGAAAGCTTGTTCCCGGGCTCGAGAAATGGGCAACCGGACCCCTGGATACGCGGAGCCATTGACTCTTCCCCGGTGCCACTTTGCCCCCAGCCGAAGAAATCGCTAGATATTGAAGGCTTTTCATTAGGCCACCGAAGGAGATCCAACGAGTACCAGGAGAACATCCCAATGCTGGAAGAACCGTCGCTCTCGCGCTCGTATTCAGACCCATTTCGGTCCCCCGCGGGTATTGCGGGACGTAGTTTGCGTAAGAACGCAAGTGAGAAGACGTGCCGTGAGACTGAACCAGGTCCGATGCTTCCGCAACATCCGTTCAAACGCGACATCGATGAAGTCCCGCAAAAGCCAGATATCGATGAAGTACGCAAACTCGGTCGCAGTAGCAATGGACGCGCTTCTCGAGGGTTCAGCGACCAGAGCACATTGTCAAGAAGCACCAACTCGTATGTCAACACAGCCTCTTTCACTCTGGATCCGCAGGAAGAAATCCCAGATGAAACAAACTCAAATCATTCGCTCGACGAGAAGATTGCAAAGCAAGAAGAGGAAGGATTGAGTCCAACACTGGCACAGCTGGAGAAGCCACTGGTGCATGAGCTGATGTTTTCTCCGGTTCACTGCCGATCGAGCTCAATGGACTTTGCAGCCGAAGCGCCAGGTTCGTGTGCCGCGCCTCAGATCCGCCGCATCCTGTCAGTTCCTGCTGATGAGATGAGCGTTCAAATGCGTCCGCGGAACTTGAAACGCGACTGCTCTCAAGCGATGCGAGAGCGTGCGAATGTTCTACAGTACATGCATCGGAAGGCAAGCGACGCTAGCAGTATTGCTGGCAGCATTCCGCGCAGTCCTGCTCGTATGAGCGAGAGTTCCAGCGACTCGTCTCGGTTCGGTGACCACACCAGCAACCGAAGTGGCAAACACTTCCGGAAGAGCTCGTTCTCGTTTTTTGACAAACTTTCCAGTGATTTAGAGAACAGCACACACGGACTGGACAGTCTGGTCGATGATTCTGAATTCAAGACGGAGAGTATCGGCCGAGGGTCCATGTCTTCGGTTGCAACTGGTCGATCCAGCACAGTTGACGAGCAACGGCCAATGGGCGGAGCTATCTCCATCTCGTCGTGAAAAGTGAGATGAAAGACAAACGTGAGGAATTTGCAAGAAGAAAAAATGCCAACGCCAAACGTTGGTTTCATGGTAGTGAAGTTAGTGTCGTCCAATAGAGCCAAAAATTGATGACAAATTTTATCTTGAAATTTGTAAGGCTGTTCATTTTGCAAAAAGAAATAGGTTTTTGAAAGTGGAAATGGGCAAAGCGTATGACGGCAAGAAGCGGTGGAATGAGACCATCCTGGCGACGACGGCGAAGACTTCTGCTGCCGGCGGACGGCATACCGCTGCGAAGAAGCGCCTTTCAGGTAGGAACAGGCTTTGTTATCGCTGCTTGAGGCTTCTAGCACTCACTAGAGACGGCGCGAGCGAGAGTAGTATCTTGATAATTGTCATTGATAATGCATTTTTGTATGGGAAATACAGGCCGCACGCACAAACTAAGCGCAGCAATGAGACTTGTGGATGATGACACACGAAATGAGGTGCGCAACGCCCGGTTGGACGCATTGGAAGCTGATAATTTCGGTGAAGACGCGGATGATGGCGATGGAACACAAGATGGAGACGAAGCGTATGTGGATGAGGAGGAAGGAGGAACTGTTGCTAGTGCATCTGGTAGGGAAGTCATCAGGAAGAAGAGGAGGGTTGTCGTCCCGGGCAAGAAGAAATGGAAGGTCAAGAGTTTGGCCCAATTGGTGTTCGAGGAACTGGGTAATGGAGACAACGCTGAGGGACCAAACTACTTGGCGGCGGCGGCAGGCCCTTCAACACACCCGGCACGGAGATTTTGCTGCGTATGTGGGTTCTTTGCCAACTACAACTGTCGACGGTGTGGATCCAGGTACTGCAGTGTGAGCTGTGGAGATCAGCATAAGGAGAGCGGCTGCATGAAGTTTGGTCTTTGAATGACTGGTTGAAAAAAAGCATCAACAAACCCACTCTTGCCGAGTATTGGATTTATAATACTATCGTTGAAAAGGCTGGTATTGGAGAAGATAAATCCAATGTGGCTATGACTATGCTTGCTCTTTAAGCATTTCAGAAACTGGAAGGTCTTCAAGTTGAAGCATCAGGATTGCGTTATGATGTTTGCGAGCCATAATAACGAATAATGGACGAAAAGCTTGATACTGGTGAAAAAGAGGTCAAAAGGAGGAACAAGGCCCGCAATACTTCTGTAAATCTTCTGCGGACGTGGGATTCATTGCCCTTGAGATCACGGCGATCACGGCGTGTGTTTTATTCTTCAGACTGGTTGGCCACGTTTTCACAAACCGTAGCTGGTGTCTGCCTATCAGACACTGGACGTTAAGGCACCAAGCACCAAGCACCAAGTTTTTATCATGCTGCAATTTGCTTCTCCTCAACAAAACTCATCAAGGCCTATCGCACTGCATCTGAGGAGCCTTTCTTCTGGCAGGCTGACATGGCGTGGGAGCTCTTTCACCGACTGAGCAAGACGTCGATCGACTTTTACCTCAAGACCCGTGCTGAACAAGGCTACAATGTCATCCAAGTCGCTGTTACCGGCTGTGTGAATGGCACGGCACGCACTAACTTTTACAACGAGATGCCATTTACGAACGAAAACCCAGCTACTCCAAATGAGACTTTCTTTGAATTGGTGGACTGGACTGTGGATTTGGCTGCTAGCTACGGCATTCTCATCGCTCTTGTGCCGACCTGGGGCATGTACGTCAATGGACAGCAAAGTGCCCATCTTTAACGAGTCAATGCCTACGACTATGGCAAGTTCATTGGGTCCCGTTACCCTGGTCTGCCAAAGGTTCTAGGCGGTGACTCGAATGTGCTTTGGTCGTGGAACATGTCGTTGGTTCAGGCGGCATACAACGAGAACCCAGACCAGGACTTTACCAGCATGATGACCCCCATTGAGGACACGACAGCAGTGTGGTCGGCTATGCGTGCTGGTCTCAAGGAAGCCGAGCGCGACCTTGGTTACGATTCAATGATCCTATTTCACCCCACGAATAGCTGGATCGTCAAACCCGAGGTGACGCCACTGCCGTACGGCCACGCTATGCTACCAAACGAGGAAGATCGCGTATCGGTTGACTGGTCACGCTCTACTAGATCCGACGTATTCACTCCGATAGGCGGCTGGGACTCCACAAAGAACTACGAGAATATCGTCGAGATGCGTGACAAGTTCACTGGTCCTGTACTCGATTTGGAGAACCACTACGAGGGAGCTCACATTAACTTTAACGCAGAGAAACCGATGCGGAATGCTTCTCATATCCGCACTGGGCTGTCCCACGCGGTTTACAATGGTGCCACGGGATTCGCATACGGTGCTCAGAGCGTGTGGCAACTGTACGAACCGAAATCAAACCTGCTGGAAGAGAGTCTCTTTTACAATCCTTTACTTAACCAGAATGAATCGGGATCGTGGCGCGAGGACATTTACTTTGAAGGTGGCATGCAAGCTCAGTACGTCACGAAGCTTCTCCGCAACCTCTCCACCGCAAACCTGGAGCAGCTAGAACCAGCACGTGAAATCCTCGCCAGTCCTAGCAACCACACCGGTAAGTCGGTCAACACGTTTGAGGGCACCAGGTACATCTCGATTCTAACTTCAAAGGCACGGGACCACTACTTCGTGTATACTGGCCACGGTGACTCGTTCAGTCTGCAGCTAGACAATGGATCGGGAAGTCGTTCGGGCAGCGCGACGTGGTTCTCACCACGCGATGGTCAGTATTACGCGAGCTTTACTGTGAGCGTTCCGGAGGGTGGCAATGATACCCGAGTGGACTTCACCCCACCGACGACCGGTAGCATCGACAATGACTGGCTTCTAGTGCTGGAGTTTTAGGCTTCTGGTACAGTGCTGCTGCGCCTGCGTATGAACAAAATTGCTGTGAAAAACGGTTGATGCATTCCCATTGTTAGATGCGGTCTTGCTGTTGCTGTGGGCTTAGAAACATCTTGATGATCGAGAGTGCCCTCTTGCAAATATCTTCGACTACAACCGATCTGAACAACGTAGACTGTATCTACTGCGAGAGTTAGAGAGTACGTGGCGTAGGAACCACCCATGCAACGATATCACAAACCATTAATGAGTAGTTCGAAGAACCTGCTAGATAGGAATCATGAGTGGCCGATGACCATTATGATCACGTGCTGGTCTGCAGCTGAGCAAACACGGCACTGAGAATGAGACAGGCAACCTTCCATCGTACGTCGAAGTAATCAGCTTCTGAAGGAGGCAGTCATTGCCAGTGGCAACTCCAGAGGTAGCAGATAACTTCTCGGCGCTGGACTCCATTGTAAATGACGTGCGTCAACTTGACGGTCAAGTGCTTGACCGGTGTATACACTCGTATAATGCTCTAAATCATGTATACATTGCAATGTATACTGATTTCACCGGCAACTTGGTCGATCTTGAACACAGGCTAGATCAACCGAGCACATTTGATGCCATTGCATGAAACAGCGAACCGGACCACGGACTGCTCAATGCCCGCGGTCTTCCGTTTCGCAGTCGTAGCGTGCGTGTGATCACGACAAAGCCAACGTGAAGTCCACCGATCGTGGCTGCGAGTGCGTTGCCCATCAAACTTTGATAAGCAAAGCGGCTGAAGGATGCATGAAAAATCCACTGCTGCCCCGAAAACAAGCAGATTTCCCGCCCAGTCATCATTGACACGTCCAGTTGGCCGTCGGAGGAGCGAACGTTGCCGACAAGTGCCAACTAACCCATCGAATCTGCATGAATGCTTTACGAAAAGGACGGCTTTGCCTCCATGCAACAGCTCATCGCCTGGAAAAGATTTACAAGATGCTTGGCGGATAAATTATCCTAGACGAGGAGCACTTCAAGATTCAGGATACGCCTCCCTTAGTCGAAACTGATTTCGAGCAATCGGTAAAAACGGGGTATCCAACGTAAGTTGTCCATTCAAAGTAGTGTACTTGTCATTTGTATTGAGGTGAAAAAAAACAGGTTGCTTGAAGAGAGCCACAAACGCGATCCTTGTGCTCAGTCTCACTTGGCAAAAGCACGCGGACGTGACAAGCTTCAGAGCAAGAACCAAGGACTGAGATCAGCCATGTCAGGCTTCTTCATTGACCCCAAAGACCTCCCGGACGGTGGCTACGGCCTCATCCAGGTGCTCTTCCTGGGCGCCGTCTACGGCTTCGTGCTCTTCAACGCGAGCAACCTCATCTCGGACGGCAGTGAGCTGCTGCTGCTCGTTCCATCCATGGCCGGCATCGTTGGCAGCGTCGTGTTGCCCGTACTGGGCGCCGTGCCCGACGGTGCTATCGTGCTCTTCTCTGGTATGGGCCCAAACGCCCAAGAGCAGGTCTCCGTGGGCGTCGGTGCACTCGCCGGCTCCACCATCATGCTACTCACTATCCCATGGGCGCTCAGTGTCTACGCCGGCCGCGTCAACATCGACGAGAACGGCCGTGGCAACTACGTGCGTCCCAAGGGCGACCAGCACTGGGCTAAGCTCATGCCGCCTGGAAACAGGAACCTGACCAAGACTGGCGTCGTGCTCTTCGACGAGATCCCGTCCACGGCCAGAACCATGATCCTCACGAGCTTAATCTACCTCATCCTACAAGTGCCTGCTCTATTCTACACTGGCACCGCTGCAGAGGATGCCAAGGCTGACAACGCCCAGGTGGCCAAGGCCGAGAAGCCCTTCGCTATCGTAGCTTTTGTCATCTCTATGATCTCCTTTGTTCTCTACCTCTACTGGAACGTGCAGCGCTCCTCGGAGGTCAAAGAGGACGTCATTGACGAGGTCCGTGTCGCTGCAATCCGTGAAGGTGAGATCAGTCTGTCCGGTATCTTGGCTAAAGAAGTGGCCCACCTGAAGATGGAGTCGCCCACCAGCACGACGCCTCTCAACGCCACTCGCGAACAGTTCGACCGCGTTGCGGACGTCATCCGTCCATTCTTCCATGCATACGACAAGAACCGTGACCACCGCATGGATGCCGATGAGTTGCAGTTGTTTTTCAAGGACTTGGGTGAGAATGTCTCGCGTGAAGAGGCAGAGAGGTGGATGGCTGCGGCCGACAAGGACAAGAGCGGATTCATCGAGTTCAACGAGCTGGTGGAGGCCACGCTACGCTACCTGTTGGCTAAGTACGAGAACGAGATGCAAGGCCGCTCGTCCGTCTCGATGAAGCGTGTGGTGGTCGAGCAGCAGTACTCACTGGCTATCCCTCCTGCTGAGGACGATGAAGAGGAAGAAGAGGAAGTCCCTGAAGACCTCGCTCATCTGTCCATTGCTGAGCAACAGAAGAAGATCAAGATCCGTTCGGCGTACATGATGTTCCTGGGCACGGCTCTTGTGCTGCTGTTCTCGGACCCGATGGTTGACGTGCTGTCTGAGGTTGGCGCTCGCACGGGCATTCCGGCGTTCTACGTGTCGTTCGTGGTGGCTCCGCTGGCTTCGAACGCCAGTGAGCTCATCGCTGCCTACAACTACGCGCAGAAGAAGACGTCCAAGACGATCTCCATCTCGGTGGCTGCTCTTCTGGGTGCTGCATGCATGAACAACACCTTCTGTCTGGGTATCTTCGCGGCGCTTATGTCGTTCAAGAGCGGTGGCCTGGTGTGGGAGTTCTCCGCCGAGACCTTCTCGATCCTGTTTGTGGAGTTTGTAATCGGCTACATCGCCATGAAGAAGACCCAGCGTCTGATCGACGGTCTGATTGTGCTGCTGCTGTACCCGACCTCCATCTTCCTTGTGTTCCTGCTGGAGAACGTGCTTGGCCTCGACTAAATTGTGTTTTTGGCCAGGTATTCAGCTGTGACGGACGTAGCTGAATGATCAAATTGTGTTGTGCAGCTTCCGAGGTGGTAGTGAGCTTGATAACAAGCGCATAGTAATGATCACCATTAGTTTCAACTTTTCTTCGAGTACATTTGGATACTTTTTCGGTGGCTACATGGCTACATTTGCCCAGCTGCCAAGTTGGTACAATGTGCCACTGGGAGAGGCACAAATTTGTGTAAACATGGTGTGTTTTGTCGCAGATCCCTTGTTTGTTCCTGGATTGTCGGGTTGTGTCTGACTTTCTTTTTGTATCGGACACAGGGCGTGAACGTTCGCAAGGGCCTTTACAAACAGAGAACTAGCCTTCCTAGCAGACAAGTGACCATGACGGAGGCTTTTATGGGCTACAGCGAGGACTTTGAGCAGTGCCGCGATGACGCGATGGCGGACATCCGTTCCATCCCCAAGGCTCGTGACCAGCGCGAGCGTGACGACCTGTCAGAGCGTGCACAGGGCAACATCTCGGAGGCCGAGCGCTATATGCGCATCCTCGAAAGCGAGTCGCGCGCTGGAGACTCGCAGGACCGTCGACGGATGCACCAGCAGCTGCGCACCTTTAAGTCGCAATTGGACAAGCTGAAGGCCAATCTTGAGCGCTCCAAGCTCATGGACGGCAGTCAGCAGCGTCGCCAAGCCGCCGCCCCACAAGACAACGTGGCTCGCTACCAGCAGCGCACGGACCGCATCGACGACCACCTGGATGATGCCCAGGCCATCATCGCGCGTACCGAGGCCACGGCACAGAACATTAATCGGAACTTGGCGGATCAACGCGAGCAGCTTATCAACGTCCGCTCGAACGTACGTTTGTGTAAATGGTGGATAAGTAAGAAAGAGAAGCTGATTATTGTGGATGTATGTAGGTTGATGAGACGCGTGAAGACACAGCAGAAGCGGGTATGCATCTGAAGAAGCTCAAGTGCAAGATGGCGTCGCAGATTCTGTTCCTGTACCTGGTCATCCTGGGCCTCATTGTTGTGATTATCTGGAGAGTCATTTCCAAGTTTACATAAAACACACAAAAGAGATGGGTCTTAGGAGACACCGATCACCCTTTATACCAAAACATTTTTGCGTGTAACTAAAGAACAAGGTGAATTGCTTTTTTTTATTATGCATGCTGCGAACATGATAGGGCATTTTACATTTTATCGAGGTAACGTGAAACTGCAATTTTAGGTGGAGTATTGAAAACCGCCATTCGAGACCGTCTACTCTCCTGGCAGTTAGCTGCTTGGCGAGCTTTTTGGTTGCTAGATGATATCCCCGACGGAGCGTGGTGACGATAGTCGGCTTCCTGTTCCACTTTCCAACTCTACGGGACGTCGGAAGATCGACAAGGTGTTGAAAAAGCCAGCGGCAAATACGACGTTGGTGCAATCGGGACAGACTGTAGCACGAGGCTATGTTCCTGCTGAGTTGTTATCTCCATCAGGAAGTAGCAACCAGTACTCACGAACATCAACGAGGAAGCGGGCAATATCTAACGATTCGCCACGAACACTGGATGGCTTTCTGCTCTTAGACTGGTGTCGAGGTTGGTTGCAAACCGCCAACTCTTTATCAGATTTACGTCATTGTTGTTAGAATTCGTTTGTTCCTTGTAGTGGAGTTTCCTGACGAAGTCGTCCAGGCAGTTTTGAGCGACATGCACATTACAGACGTTGTGGCTGAGGACCTACTCTTTTTCACTAACTTGACACGGTTAGATATGAGTGACAACGAGGTTTGAGATATTATTTTGAAAGGCTCAAAGCGTGAATATGCAAAGCTGATTGTCAATTTGTCGTTTTATACTGAAAAAATGTAGGCCCCATTAGAACCGTTTGGGTGCCTGCCAGCGCTCGTCGAGTTGGACTTCCAGTGTAACGCGTTAGAAGAGGTCATGCTCAACAATGGTTTCCAGAGTCTTGAGGTACGAACCACATTGAACTTGCTTAAGAAATTATGTTGTCGGCACTCATTAACTTGTTTTTCGTAGGTTCTGAATTTATCCTTCAACTGTTTAGGATCGAAAGACCTTGAGGAGCTCTCGAATCTGTTGCGTATTCGCGAGCTATATCTTGGTAGCAATCGAATTCGATCATTACCACCGATTATGGATCGCTTTTCTCGACTCGAGACATTATCTCTGGAAAGCAACAATATTTCTGGACAGGAAGTTTTTTCCTTTATCGCCATCATGCCTCGCCTACGGAATCTAAACCTGAGTTACAACAAGATTACTGGTTTTCCTGAGGTACGTTGTCCAGGAGATTAATAATTGGTGACGGTGTATTCATTGCCTATGATAGTCTGCGTTGACTTTAGAAGAAAAGCGTGGTGCTGGGTTCTACAATCTCATCTACCTCAATCTCGCGCACAACATGATTACCGAGGAAGAAGCTGTTGTACACACTACTGAGCTACGAAGCTTGCGAAAGCTCATACTCTATGGCAATCCTCTGGCTCACGCCGCGGTCACCTCATACGACCCAACCAAGCTGGCGTACGATCCTGTACCGAGTTTGACAGCAATATTGAATGAAAGAACAGCGGATCAAATTACAATGACTATTATGGTGGCGTACCCCGCCACAAAGAAGAAGAAGCTGCACTCCATGTCCTGTTACGAACACGTCGAGATTTATAAAATGATTCCGAACGAGGTGGTTCTCCAATCTCCATTCCACACACGAACAACCGAGTTCATGCCGACAGTCAATCCAGACACTGTCACGGATAAAGAACTCCTATCAAAACGACAGGTGCGTGGCTTAGCTTATTGTTGTTGGACTTACTTTTGACAAACAGTACTTTCATATATTGATGATAGTCCGATACTCCATCAACACCTATGAGGAGGCGTACGTACTAGTACCAAGATGAAGAATCTAGCTTCACATCGTTGCTGACAGGTCTAACTGATTTGTTTTCGCATCTACTGCAGAATTGAAGTATAATCCCAATGACACTACCTTTCTGACGGGTGTGGGCATTGAAGATGTTCTTGCGGGTGCTGGGTCGTCAAATGAAGTAAGACCATCTACCGTATAAATGGATTCATTTGGTTTTGCTAATGTACACGATCAGCTTCCTGCAGTTCCAGCTTGTATGATCACGCGGTCGCTGGCTGTAGATTCAAAAGTAAGATATACGCATTCGTATCTGTAAATCGGCATTCTAACCTTTAACGGGTAGGACCTTCCGGCTATGAACACAAGAATGGCAGTCAATGCTCTCCGTTACCAGCTTGAACACCCGCTGACATCTCATGATGACTCTCAGCTCTACCCTGCCCATTCTCAGCAACCCACTCAAGCTTATATGGCAAGCAAGATTATGGCAGATACAACATGAATCCTTAATCTAACTTATTTAAATGCTGGTAGCAACGACAACGTCCTCGACGCCCGCTTCCGTCGAGGAAAGAATCACCAACTTCGCCAAGTCGATGTCGCGTAAACAATGAAAGTGGAATTTCTAAGCTCAAAGGTAAAGACTGGCAGAGGCTACAGTTAGCATTGCAATAAATGCAATATTTGACTGATGATGCAACGAAGGTTCTCAACGTGTAGATGACGCTCTCACCGAGTTGAGCCATCAAGTTTCAAGTACTTGGGACCGTCGGCCATGTACGTATCTAAGGGAGGGGGTTGTCGAACTGTTTGATACTAACGAAGTTTATCGTTCCAGTAAATGGATCCGAACAAGGCGTTGACAGAGCGCTAGACTCCCTTATCACCACGGCCAACAAGCTCAACTTGACGTACAAATCCTCACCCCAAGGATCTGGACAAACTCGAAAAGCATAAAAGCAGTATGCAACGAGCACTCATCTCTATTATATACCAAACCTCTGACCTAAAAGCCCCAGAGAACTGCGGTGCGTTTGTGTTTGACGAGTTCCCTCTTTATGTTGACTTGTAGTGGGTCAGTCGGTACAACAGCACACGTCCTCGAGCATTACCAACTGCGAAGTAGCCGCTGTTCGGACTGAAGTCCATTGCTGACACGTAGTGCAGTGGCGTGTGTGCCGTTGGCCAGTTGGAGAATACCGTAAGAGACGGCATGTGCACCATCTTCAACGAGTCCTTGGCATCATTAGAAGCCATCGCCAAAATCTCCGAGTTCGCGTTGAACTTGAGGTGGTCGACCTGAGTGGTAAGGTTCATCAATGCCTTCCGCGGCTTGGGCTTGGCCGTCAGACCAGCGTTATCGTAAATGTTGACCACACCGCTCTTCGAACCAGCAGCGTAGTGTTTGCCGCTAGCGGCCAGTGCGTGGTTGCCTAGACTACCTTCATCGTCGTGGACGAACACACACCGCCGAGTACGCATATCCCACTTGTAAATCTGTCCGTCCGAGCCTGTGCTAATCAGATAGCGGTCGTTCTCGCAGAAAACCGCCGAGTTGACAGTACCGTTCATCTTGAGAGTGCCAATCGACTCGTACGACTTGGCTGAAACCACATCCAAGTAGCCATTGCTTCCCAGGAACACAATCGTCTCTCCGCTGTCAGAGACGACGAATTTTTCACGCTTCCTCTCCTTCCGTCCATATAGACCAGGGATCTTGGTGATCTTGCCGGCCTCGATGTCGTACGAGAAGAAATACTGGCGAGGTCCGGTCAAAACCGCACGGTCTCCACCGAGCGTAAACTTGGCGTCCAAAATGGGGAGATCCTGCACGAAGACGTTCTCGATATTGGCGTTGTTGCTGCCGTCCACTTGGAAAAGATGCAGCGTCTTGTCTAGACCCGCTGTCAGCATAATCTGTCCGTTCGGGTGGAACTGCACCGATTGGATAACGGCATTGGACGGCGCATGCTGATTGGCGTCCTTCATGCGGGCGACCTCTAATGAGCCCTGGGGCAGCAGCTCGCCAGAGTCCTCAATCATCTTGCCGGTACTGCGGATTAGCTCAGCCTCCTCATCGTCGCTATCATCTGAGTCCACCTGGCGATCCCCCAAGAAGTTCTTGGGGTCTGCCCACGAGACAGCACCGTGCGCTGACTGGTAGCTGCAATAAACAAGACAAAAAGAGAATAAATGAGCACAATTCCTGCATCCCAGTGCGAATAGAGCGTGGATATTGGATATTGCACGTACAAAGTCTTGAGGCGACGGTTGAGCTCCTTTCCATCAACGACCGTGTCCTCCTCGGTCTTGCGGAGCTTACGAAGCTGTGGCTGTTCCTCCAAGTTCACCTCGACATCGTCATCGTCATCGTCTACCCAGGCAGCTTTGAGTTTAAGCGAGGTCTTGTCTTGTTCGCCTTTGCCCTGGTTCTTGCGCTTGTTTCTCTTCTTCTGCGGTTTGGTCTGGAACACTTCCTCGACCAGAAGCTTCTCCGCCTCGGACACGGGTGCACGCTTGCCCATGCTTGATGAAGAGCTACTGTAAACGAGCTTTGTATGGCCGCGAGTGTCTGCACCAATGAAGCACAAATTGTACCCACTATCTGGAACAATTATCGTTACTTCAAAATGTAACGATAGGGCGGTTACGGAGGGGCGACATCTCTTCACAATATTTTAATCAAGTGAATCCGACCGTACAAATCCAACGATGCGCCTGCCCGCACGCGTCCACAGTTTTTTTCTCAACCTCATTATTGAAAACGGAAGACGAAGCGCAGGACACGACACGTGATCATCTCCGCGCGGACAAACAAGAACAGGAACAGGTCCACAGACACAGCAGATCGACCACAGGCAGGTGTCTGTGCTAACTTAGCAAGCTAAAAGCTACCCCCTTTCCAGAGAACATGCCATGCCCAGCAGTAGTCACCGTGGAGGCTTTGTCCCATCCAGAGAAGCGAGTGGACTCGCCACGAGCGTTTTGTAACTCTCCATCGTCCATCTCGGACGTCGATTTCAGCCGTAGCTCGACGGACAAGGCGATGCCAGACAGCGACAAGGTGCGTCCCCTTTGATGGGTTTAATGGTTTTTTGAGAGTGATGGTCGTGTCTAATTTTGTGTCTTTTTGGGTTTTATTAGATCGACAACACCAACACAGAATCAGGTGATGAGCTTGAGGCTCAGGACGGTATGCGTGCCCTGCGCCCGGCATCAGGTTCCGTTGATATTAATGAGGCTCTTGCGCATCCTGTGAGCAGCTCCCAGTCGCTCAAGCGCAAAGCTGACCAAGAGACTGAGGAGGAACAGCATCAAGTGACCAAGAAGGCCAAGACGGAGGAGAAGCAGCTCACGCCCGCTGAAGCGGACAGTGATTATCTACCTACTGACATTGAGGAGGATGAGGAGGGCTTATACGAGCACCCCCAGTCCTCCGTATCTCGTGATGGCTATGCTGATATTGGCTGTGCTCCTGGATATGATTCCGCTGCTGATGTTGAATGTAGCAGCGAGTCACCGCGACGCAGCCGCCGCACACTCTACATTGAGTACTGGAGCAGGACGGACGAGTGCAAGGAGCGCAAGTGGGACCACCTTGACGAGATCGCCGAGAATTTTGGGTCTGCTGAGGAACACATTTTTGCTACGACTCTGAAGGGTAGAACTGCGTTCCTGGAACCCAATATGTTTCCCTATGACACTCCTGCAGGCATCGAGCACTGGACGCTGTGGCATGTCAAGGACCTGAATCATGAACAGGTGAAGCAGTACGTGGAGAACTGGATTGATGCCAACGCACCGCATGTGGAGAGGTGGAACTATGATGACAACCCGGAGAGGTCCATCGATATCTTTCACGTACACGTGTATTTCCAGGTGGCGGAGGGTCTCACAGTGTTACAAGATCGCAAGGTGGAGGATCTAGTGCATGAACTGGACTGACTGGTTCCGCTCACATGTGCTACAGGGTTTAGGTCGCTCGCGTCCGCGCGCTCCTTCACCCACTCTTGTACTCAAGTCCATCATAAGTTATCCAGGTAATGTGGTGTTCCCTCGCCGGCCCAAGACCATTATTTATGCTCGGTAATCATAGTCGATGCTATCGAGCTTGAGCGGGCCAACGGGCGAGTGGATCACCACCATGACCTACTGGTAGCGTTCAGTTTGCGTTGCACTCTTAAACGATAAACTCCGCAATACACGTCGATACTAAACAAACTTGTTTCTTTTGTGAGCGATTCATGAATTCTTGGACTTCAGGTTGATGACTGAGCATCAAATCTGACGTGCAAACATCAGAATGCTGGTTGGTACCTTCATAAATAAACTTTCAAAATTTCTACTCTTACAATATCCCCATAAGTCAAACGTATACTGACTGTATCACATATCGTATTCTACGGGTATAATATTTACAGATCTCTTGAGTAATGTATGCCTCACTGCAGGTAACCCATAAAACCTTGGGCATCATTCGAAAGGAAGCGGAGCTACTCAGCCCCGCACCAGCCCGCTCTCAGCATCCGCAGGCACGTCCACAGCGCCTCAGCCACGCCATCGCCTTCTTCCCGCATTTCGCGTGCTTCTTGTCGCTCTCCCCGCGTCGCTGTGGCCCGTACGAGGTCACAGGTCATGCCAGTCCGCAGAGGCATCGTGGCCTCCGTCGTGCGGACACTGAGCTTCCACGTGGCCACATTCGCCTTCGCATTCGTAAGGGCAGTCCTCTTAGCCGCTTCCGGGCTGTTAACACTGCTCGTGGTTGGCTGTCTGCTTGTCGGTTCGTCTCAATTCGCTCGAAAGCTCACTAGGATCCTTTGGAAGACTGAACTGGCTATCGACGGGCTCGTAGCGGACGAGGATGAGCTGTGGCCAGCATTGAGGCGGTGCGGATCAAGTCAAAGCCGTGAGAGCGCCGCCCAAGGGCCAGTATTGGGGGAGGTGACGCTCCCGGTGATGTTGTTATCGCTATTGTACTTTTTGGTGTTCAAATGGATCTTGGACCTGATCTTCAGTGTCGTGCCGCTGGTACTATGGGTCGTGAGTATTGCTCAAGTGTTACCGAAAGATGCAGGGCTCTCGGACGTGAACATCGTGTCCACGGGGACTACAGCTGCTCAGGTATTTGCGGCGGTAGCTTTCGCCTTCTTAGCGCATCAATTGGGGGTAACATCCGCTAGAGGATTGCTGTTCGTGTCAAGAAGTGTAGCAGGAATGTTATTCTCGAGGAGTGAGCGAGAGGAGTGCAGCGAACAGAGCAGAGATGGAGCGGTTGTGATAGAAAGTAGAATTGGACAAGAAGAGCGTCATATTGGAGCTGCGGCGTCGAATAATTATGGAACGATGGGTGGAAAGCATTCACGTTCACGACAAGGAAGTGGCAACGTGTCGGTGTCGAACGAGAAGCAGTCGGCTGAAGCTGTTACCAGGAATTTGTACGAGGAACGCCGAAGTGGCAGCGATTCGAATATATTGAGAACAAGAGGGCCAAGAGATATGAAACAGCAGCCAGCGAGCTTCGATGGTGCATACGTAGCTCCAGGGATGTCTTCAATACCTTCGGAAAGGCCGTTGCCCCATGCAGAACGGGCTTTTCAAGAAGATATGGATCATGACCACGATCAGGAGTTTCAGATGTGCTGCTGTAAGGTTATCATCAAGTCTGATGCTAAAGGAACCGATGGTAGTGACGGTCAGCACGGGAGTGGTGGTCGTGGTGGCCGGGGAGGCGGAGGTAGGGGGAATAGCAGAGGAGGGCTGACATGGGGTCGAGGTAGAGGACGAGATGGACTGCGATTTGATCAAATGAGGCTGGATATGCGTGGTCGATCACCTTTTCCAGCTTTTAATGGTGAATATTCACCATGGGATCCTCGGTGGCGTGAACAATGGTTAGAACATTGGTCGCATTGGCATGGCTGGAGGTGGCCACATATTGACCAGAGAAGACAGCGTAAAGATCGACGAGGACGACGTCGGCGTAATAGCTTCGATGATATGTATGCTGTCGCTGTCCCAGTGGCCACGACTCTTTCGGATGCTGAAGACGATATGGTCAAGAAGGAACCAGCGCACAAAAGTATGTATGAGGCGCTGGATTTAACTCCGTCAGCCCCGCCTCTTTCGTCCCAACCGCCTCGTCGGGGAAGTTTCGATTCTCATTTGGTGCCAGATTTTCGAGAACAAGGAGATAATGACCGTCACCACCGTGACTCGATGCACAAGAGCTGGTCTGAACCTATTGGCCGTCAGGAGTACAGTCACGGAAGTGAAGCGATGGGCACCTCCGAGTCAGATGAAGACGAAAGTGACGATGATTTTCAACAACCCGGATCGAAAAAAGATGACACTAGAAGTGTGCTGTTACGGGGACAACATCAACACACGGGTAGTTCTTCCAAGAGTGCATTACGTGGTAAAAGAGAGGTGGCTGGTGAGGCTGATGGAGAGTGGGTTGACGATAAATTGCACCAAAAGCATGCCGAGTGGAAGCAAAGGCGCTATGAAAGGAAAGTGCAGAAATACGAGCAAAAACTTCGTGCAGCCCAAGAAAAACTTGAAAAACGACGTGAAGAGCATGTTGGTCGTAAGGAGAGATCTATTGACGCGAGAGAACGCGATAAGTATGCAAGAGAGATCGAACAAGCAGCCGATGAAGCGTTTCAGGCACGTGGGACTACTATGCAGATGCAATTGCAGTCGTCGGGAGATGCAAAAGCTAGTGCTCCTCGTCACACAACGCCAGTAGCACCTCCAGTTCCAACTGCTCCGGTAGTACCTCCAGCTGCACCACCCGCTCCTGTAGCTCCACCAGTTAGACGTGCGCCTGTAAAAAGCACGGGCGGCGACCCAAGGAAGCGAGCACTTTCATCTCGCGTCCGAGGCCGACCAAGTACACTGTCAGACCATCAAGTGCGCTCCAGCAGCGATACTGCTGAACAACTAGACAGGGTGGAGCGTGATGAGCAAGAAAATAAACGGTCGGTGAGTATCGCTCCAGTTTCTCAAGCTGGATCATCGCGCGATATCAGTGACCTTGAAATCCTGGGCCACTATGGAAATATTGCCCGTGAATATGAAGACGACGACGTGACAAATATGCGAGCTTATGCGCCGCTGAGTTATACGGATAGCCCCCCACAGTACATCACGGCTCTGGATACAAGTCCGATCTACCGAGGCTCGTCGGAGCAACCAGATTACGACAGCTTCTCGCCCATGAATTCACCCAGAAGTAGTGGAGTAGGACGTGGGTCTTTTGAGGCCGATCATGACTACGACTTGCTGTCTCCGACCAACAGTATACACGACGCGGAGTTCCCGACGGACAAGTTCCAGCAAGTGTACCGTTCGATCCAGATGGCTGCTGTGCCTGAGCCTCGCCAGGCTGCATCAACGATAGTAGCTGAGGAAGGCGGTTTGGATGCGAAATCAGAGTTCAAAGGGGTACCCGGTCGTCGCGATCGTGTGAACTTCAGTGCATTTGCCCCACCGAGCGTATGTCCATCGCCGAAACCGTTCCAGTTCACAGTTTGGGCGTTCCTGTTGAACCAGCGATCTGAAATGCAAGAGATAGCCAAGAGCGACCACCCTGAGGCTCGAAAACTTTCACTTGAGTCCAAACTGGATGTCCGTCGTGGTGCTCTTGTGCACGTGACACTTGAAGTACCCAATGGTTTCGAAGTGCTGAATGGTGCGACACAAGGCTTTGCGTGGGAAGGAGAAATCTCGAGTGTTGACTACGACGTGGTGTGCACAGAGGGCGCTGCGTTTGGGCGTGTATTGTTCAAAGCGAGAATCACCGTCGGTTCGTCTGTCGCCGTACTGAACTCGTTCGTGTTGGTCGGCTCGCATGTGATGGATACTAGCGAGCTAGAAGCCGATGTGCTCGAAGGATGGATGGATGTGATGGAACAGACGTATCGCGAGATCCCGTTTCGATCGCTCGAGATGAAGGAACTTGTAGGACAAGGATATTTCGGAGACGCGTATCGCGCGTCACTGAATGGTCAGGATGTGGTGGTGAAAACCATTCGAGCTAGCGAGTTCGGTGAAACTACGTCGCAGATTGTTCGCGAGTTCCAGCACGAGGCTGCGATGTTGAATATGTTTGGTCATCACCCCTGCATCGTGCCATTCGTGGGTGCTTCTACTGACACGAAGTTCCCGTTGGCTTTGGTGACCAAGTATCTTCCGTATGGCAGTTTGGAAGACAACCTACGTGGTAGTTCTTCACTCTCGATTGATGAGCGAACTGGAATGTTAAAGGACGCTGCTGCTGGACTGCTCAATATCCACGAAGGTGGCTTTATTCACCGTGACCTCGCTGCGCGCAACTGTCTCGTGGACCAAGGCAATCACGTACGAATCTGCGACTTTGGGCTCTGTCGTCGCGTGCGATCCGAGACGGCAGGGATGGTTATGAAAGACGCTGTGGGCCCAGTAAAGTATATGGCGCCGGAGTCATTGCAGCCTCCTCACGCGTTCTCGTACGACTCAGATGTCTACATGTTTGGTGTGTTAATGTGGGAGACCTACACGAGTTCGCAACCGTTTGCGTCGCTGACTCCTGTCGAGGCTATGATGCATGTTCTACGTGGTGAACGTCTTCCTGTTCCCAAGGAGCTACCTGAATCTCTTCAGAATCTGATGCAGAACTGTTTCCATGACTCACCCGCCGAACGTCCGTCCATGCAGGAAGTGCTCACTGCGTTGGACCACTCGTTGATCTCGAGCCAACGTGCATCAGCAGCGATCGCTGCTAGAACTGCGGTCGCAACAGCCAGTGCCAATGCTGCGACCTCCACCGCAATGGCCAAGTCCGTCGCATCGAGGAGCAATCAGCAAGACCGATCCATTTGGGTATAACGCGAGTTATGTACGTAGTTTCTGATGTTAGTTTCCTGATTATGTGTAATAACGGACAAACAAGTTATTGAATTGATGTTTCTCTAGCGTCCGTTGAGATCTCTGTCGTCCCCTAAAGTGAAAAAAATCTCCTCGAAAAGTACTCCAAACCTTCCTTAACCATGGAGAACTTCACGAAACATCAAGACACCGGCACAGACACGATCCAATGCTGTGGCACGAAGATTGCAACGAAGAATGTGTTCGTACTCAATGCTACTGTAGACTCGATGGTTTCGTCCGGAATCATTATGCCTCTGGCGTCCGAACAAGGTCATTCCACTAGTGAATCGATGATATCGTTGTTGCGAGAAAACCAGAAAAAGGAGTTGACGCACGACGGAATGAAGGGATTCGTTGGCTCGACAGACACACAGAAAGTATCTTGGGTTACATCAAGCGGTTCTCCGAAGTTCATGAGTAGTGGCAAGCCTCGCTGCACGTATCCAGGGTGCATGAAGCAAGTTCAGTTGAAAGGTCTGTGTCGTGCACATGGTGGACGCAGACTCTGCTCGGAACCAGGTTGCACTAAGGTGGTCAACTTGAAAGGCAAATGTATTGCTCATGGCGGTATCAACATTTGCTCGGAATCTGGTTGCGTTAAGAAAGCGTGGCTTCATGGCAAGTGCAGTGCTCATGGAGGAGTGAAACGCTGTCGTGAAGAAGGATGCTCGAAAACGGTCCATGCTCGTGGTCGGTGTTGCAAACATGGTGGAGTTGTGCGGTGCTCCGTTGCAGGGTGTGTCAATCAAGTTATAACGATGGGGAAGTGCGCAGCACATGGAGGAGGTAAGCGTTGTTCACAACCAGGCTGCACCAAGCTTCGGTACAGAAACGGAAAATGCACTGCGCATGGAGGCGGAGCACGATGCACGCACCCAGGTTGTACCAGACTTCAGAACAAGAATGGCAAATGTTGCTCGCATGGTGGGAGTCCTCAGTGCTCGCATCCGGGCTGCGAGAAACGTGTCGTGACGAGAGGCAAGTGCTCGAACCATGGTGGTGCAAAGCGATGCTCCACTCGCGGATGCCGGAAGATTGCTGGGCCAAGTGGCTTGTGCCCTGCTCACACTGAGAATTGAATTAGCAAGTACTGGAAGAAATCTTCGCATATTTTTCCTTTTTTATATAACGGTATTAGCATTTAGCATTGCTGTTACTACTTGCAATGCACACATTTTGTACTGTGGTTTGTATGTAAAGTGGCTTGAAATCACAGAAGCCAGGCAACTTGACAAGGGAAACGGATACATTTCCTTGTGATTCATTACCGCAACATTGTCACTTCGAAGATTTCCCTTTCACTTCCAAGTGCAACAAATGGTTTCGTCACGATTCACACCCGAGCATGATGAGCTTCTGCTTTCCGTTGCCGGGCGCCACGGCACATGGCCAGAGCGAGTGCAGGCGTTCACCGACGAGCTCCATAAGAGGAGCGATTTCCTGCCAATGCCCGAGCCAGCTTTCACGTTGCTGGAGATTCGAAACCACTTGAATGAACTGTGTAAAATTGTTCCAATTGGGTTGGTCAAGTCTCTCTCGTCGGGTTGGTACCCCAAGCGAACAGAGCTACTGCAAACCATCGACAATAACACAGTAGGGGAGTCCAATGAAGTGAAGACCGTGCTGTTCAATCACGCAGTCAAGGAGAAAGGTTGGAGCTTCATTGCAACACTTGAGCAAGTCAAGTGGAAACTGGGGCGGTTGCCTAGGAACAACCAACACACTGGAACAGCAAGTGCACCTGCACTGTCCACTTCTTCTCGACAAAGCTCTGGTATGAAACGTCCCAGCACTAACAGCACTGGAACTTGGATTAAGAGCAAGCGCCAACACGTTGAAAATGATGCCACAACGGAGAGTGATAAGCCCGCAACAAACACCATCCTTCCCGTGGTTGATCATGTCGAGAATGACTCCTGTCTGGTTGACAATGGTTTCGAGGGGGAGTGTATCGTCACAGAGAGCGATGGAAGTGACATTGGGCGCATTGAAGGTGACGGTGCTCCTGGTGTTTCGAGGGGAGAACCAGTTCCTTCTCCAGAGTCTGGAAATGGTGCTGGAACAGCTAAAGCTCATGGACACCAACGTGGAGAGATTAACGTGTGCCGAGACGTGAGAACTGAAGTGGAACAGACGAGGATTGACAACCAGAACGAAGCAGAAGAAACAATGACTGCTCACTTACGCTCGCTAGTGAACAACAAGCTGATGAGTGATGTGGTGTTCGTTGGTAAGTTTCTGCTCTCAGCACGGCTACCTGACTGTACAATGACTGATTGTTGTTTTTTTTTCAGTTGAAGGCACCGACATTTTTGCGCACAAGTGCATCTGCATACGCAGCCCATTCTTTAAAACCCTGCTTTCTGCGGAGGTAAGCCTCATTCTACCTTTTGTATCATAAGCTTACTTCGCACTTGTAGAATTGAGAAAGAATGCTTACTTGTGCTATGCATGATGTTGTAGAGTTCACAAAACAGATTTCTCTGTGTGAAGATAACTGATGTAAGTTGTGCGGCGTTCCTAGCCTTGATCGACTACGTGTACACCGACCAAGTAAACGTATCGAGTGATAATGTGGAACTGTTTGTCGCTGCTGATCGGGTAAATCTTTGCGCGGCATTGAAGTTTTTCAGTGATGCTAATTCTCTTCTGTGAGCGTAGTTTGGTATTGAAAGTCTCAAGCAACAATGCTCGAAGAAATTGCTAGACTCACTGTGCGTTGACAACGCTGCCAACACACTGCTCGCGGCAATACAGCACCACGATCCAGTGCTACGTGACGCGTGCTTCACCTTCACACTTCGCAACCTTGAAAAGGTCTCAAAAACGAAATCTTTTCACGAGATGGCAAGACGTGACCCCGAGATGGTGGTCAAGATCGTGCAGAAGGTGTCAAGTCTTGTCCACATCTCCTAACTGGTGGGCTATTTCATTGGATACTCGTAAATTTTGCATTGATTCAGGTAAAATCAATCACCGTTTCTTTATTTCAAGCTTCTCTAAAGCCGTGTTCCTTTGTCTTCTGGTCAGAAAAGCTTTATCTTCTCCGGATTAGTGCTGCCGTCACTGCACTAACGATAACAGCGCCCGCGATAGCAGCTGTACGGATCTGGTTGGGTGAGAAATCACGGTTTAAACTCTCGTTAACGAACGAGGTAACCTTCGACCAAACGTTTGTCGGTGGCAGCTCATCGAGGTGCTTGATCATCAGTTCTCCTTCACCCTCCACTTCAAAACCCAATCGTCTGTAGAAGTTCCGGACACCGACACCGGCAATCACAGCCATCTTCTTGTACCCGTGAGCTCGAGCGATTTCCTCCGCCTTCATCATCAGTTGCGTACCGAAGCCTGTGTGTTGAGCGTGAGAGCCTTCTGCATCCACCGAGGTACTACTTTTCTTCTTCTTGCTAATTGCAGCCACTAGTTGACCATAAACGTGGAGCTCTCGGATCAACGCAGCATCTTCAAGCTCCGGAAACACACCGCCACCAGGAGTTTGCGAGAGCCGCAGCCGAGCAAATCCACAAATCTTGGAGCGATCTGGAGTCTCGAAGCTGATGAAGTACTCATCACCTTCGTTGGCCTCGTACTCACGGATGACACACTCCGCAGAGGCAATTGCAGCGTCGTCAGTCTTCACTTCACGGCATCGGATACACTTACAGGGTGTGCCTCGCTCGATCATCTTGTTGCCAATCACTTGACGCAGATTCGGCTCATCCATTCCTCCTAGAATGTACTGACTCGGGATATCGCGGATCACACGGTTCAGACGAATCCATGGGTGCACTTCAGCCTTCACATCCATCAGCAACTCAATGAGTTTGTCATCACCGTACGGCACGTAGCTGCCTTCATCGTACCACTTCTTGATTACAGTCCAAGGGGTGATCTCACACGGGTAAATCTTCCACTGATCAGCTTGCAAATTCGGCGTATGCAGGACATACTCGAACATTGCGCGATCCTTTTCCGGGTCGCTACCAGGAAGGTTCGGCATCAAGTGAATGTCCGTCTTGTAGCAACAGTCACGCAGCAGCTTCAGTGCCTGTACCGCTTGAGCTAACGTATGTCCACGGTTGATCTTCTTCAAGATACCATCATCCGTGTGCTGGATACCGAGCTGCACACGTGTGCATCCGTATCTCCGGAATCGACGCAGCTCTTCTGGCGTGATGCAATCCGGACGTGTCTCCAGCGTGATACCGATGATCTTCACCGCTGCTGTTTCATTCTCGAGCTTTTCTTCGTCCAAGCTGTGACGTTCACGCTTCTCTCGGTCGAAAAAAGTGTTGGCTGCATAGAACAAGTCGCGGATGAAGGTCTCCTGGTATTCTACAGGGTAACTGGCCCACGTTCCTCCGAGAACTAATAGCTCGATCTTGTCAACTGGATGGCCGTTCATCGCCAGCGTCACACAACGGTCACAAAACTGCAGCACTGGGTCGAAGTCGTTCCGGTTCGCTCGGAGCACGCTCGGCTCGTCGTGCAAGTAGCTTCTCGGCTGGTCTGGCTCATTGGGACAATAGTAGCAGTTCCACTGGCAACTGAACTTTTGTTTCTTGCCGTTTACGGTCGGGTACGGACTGGTGAGCACTGTGACGACTAGGACACCCGACTGACTCTTCTGGGCCTTCTTGACGAGTAACTTTTCCAGTGCCAAGCCCTTAGGCGCTGTACCCTTTTGCACTAATAGTCCAAGGACAAATTTCATCTGGGACTTCTTGGGTAGACACTTGAATTTGCGTCGCAAGAGTACGAAAACCTTCTCGAGCTCACGAGCTGTTTGTGGGTCGTGTTCGACCAAAAAGAGACCCATTTCTTCATATTTGGGCAGCTCGTCCACAGGTACAAGCTTGTCCCAAGTGGCGTAGATGTCGTCTAGCCCCGTGTTCTTCCAGTTTGGGTCTTGGCTGCGCTTGTAGGTCGCAGGATCGTTTACGTCGGGCTTGGGAACCTCGATGGACTCGATATCCGCTTCTGTCGTGGTCTGTGGCAGGGTTGAGGAGCTCGACATTGCAGGAGAAGGAGAGCAAGTATTGGCAGCAGTGGTGCAAGTGGTTGCGGACTCGGAGGCGGCCGAAGAGGCCGATGCGAGAGTCTGCACGTCTGCCATGCTGACGATTGGTACTGGTGGTCAAGGCTGTTAAATCCGATCAGCCAATCAAAAAAATTGTTTTGTAGGGCAAGTGTTTTAAACTTTTTCTTCTATTTAACAGGCGGTCTCGCTAAGAAGGGCGAACAGAGGAATCGAACTCGGTGAAACCTCGGGTTTGTTTTCAACTGTAATTAGCAAATGTGCGCGTTGATATCAAGAAATTCAATTGGGCCATTGAACGGCGGAATGCTTACCTACGTGAACAAACTCCTTCATGTGATGAAACTACCTTGTCAGATGCAAAAAAAAGAGAATGAAGTGGGAATTTATTGGCATTCTATCGCCTATGTTTTGTGAATGTGTTGTCGAGCTTGCGCGCAGAGTTATCAACTGCAATGATTTAAGGGCTGCGCTGTGGTTTAGCGATCGACCTCGAATAAAATCTACATGTCAATTAGGATCTTGTTGGGTGATATTTGGATTCCGCAGTCTAACGACATTTCAACGAAATCGTTAAATGTCGCGAAATCACTTGGTTTTATTATTAAATTTGCTGCTATAACATTCCTGCAGGCTGTTTTGTTGGCTTACAGTTCATCATTTTCGCTTAGATTCAGCTTCATATCGCAAATGGGACTATCGGGACTATAAATAGTCCGATATAAAATTTCAATGTTGTTGCGTCAGTTGGTGGTGATCAAACGATTCAAGAAGTCTACCGCCATGATGCTGCTAGCAGGCGTGATCTGCGTGTGCACAGCAGTGGTTGCAACCTACGTTACCATGTTTATGACCATTGGGATGCGGTCCCAAGTACTGCGTGCATTGCTACTGCACGTGTTGGCCCTGTGCCAAGGTGTCAAGCTCAAATGGGTGACCGACCCGGACCTCGCGTTCCACGTTCTCAAGTCAACAGCAGATAAAGGCGAGATGATTGAGGCAAGACTGGCGTTGCCAGCCTGGAGCCCTGTCGTCTCGCTCGAGTCGGTTAATGGGGAACAATGGCGCCGGATGAAGACGCAGTTCATGAAACTGACTCAAGTATTGCAGCCCATCTCCCAGCTCACGACCATTTTCGAGAGCCGTGGACAAGAACTACTGAAGGCCAACGTGGTGATTGACGCCCTCAAGTTGAATGAGCTTTCGGTTGCCTGCTTCTACGAGTGGGTCTTTGAACGGGAGTTTGACAGTAAAAAATTTGCCGAGGTTTGTCAAGCCACGTGGGAGTGGCGGAAGCAAATTGCGCTTAAAGGATTCGCTGACTGTGGCGTGAAGAAGCGTACGATTGAGTGGTGCGTGGAGGAGATCATACGCACTCCTCGATTGTACGATTTATTTGGAGAGAAATGGGTGAAACCGGAATACTATTCGCTCATTTTGCAGCCGTTCGTGCTCTCACCGGCGATCAACCTCACGGATGTCGCTGTGGTGGTTAAAGAGTGGATTAAAACTACACCAGCGACGCAGCCAGTTACGCCAGAGATTATTCGACAGTGTGTCTGCAGTGCTCATCCGTTCCCAGTGGTTGAGCGATACTTTCCGTGTGGTGACGCTGCGATGGATATTGCCCCGAATACCCACGTTCTGATCCCGCTGGATGAGATGGCGGGCGATGCATTCGCTGCTGGGGTCGATTTGACGTTTGGCGCAGGATCTCGCGTTTGTGTGGGACGTCACATGGCCATGAAAGCAATGGTTGGCCTGTTCACGGATAGTATGGTGCGGTCTGATAAGTTCCAGCCAAGACTCAACCACAAATACTCGGGTCGCCATAACGATGGAGAGGAAACTGCGATCGAAACTCTGTACCAGGTGCAGTTTGTGGTAAGAACACTTACCGCTACTCTCATTGATCGCGTCAAAAGAAACCTCCGCAGATACTTGAAAACATGTTGATTGCAGCAGATACGGACAAAGCAACTCAGGAAAAAGGAGGATTGCCAATTTCCGACATCGTAATCATGCATTTGGCGTACAATTTAAATCATTTTTTCTCAACATGACATGTGTGCTCAAGATGCTGTACATTTTGTGCATAAGTATGTCGAGTGTCCAAGTGACCACACACTATTCATGCCCGTCCTTGATTCCGATGTCAAGAGGACATTTCTATCTACCACATCACTATACGCATAGAAATCTAACGCTGTTGTAGAATCTGCAAGGCCAACTCGATGTTGTTCCGTGCCATATCCAAGAACGACGGGGTTTTCGAGACCGTATCGAAGTTCTTGAGTGTAAAGGCGAAACACTCGTCTCGGAGCGACGGAGAGTTGTGTTGGTCCGCTGCTTGAAGGATGCTAGCGACATTGTCGACATTCACTGACTTCAGGAGTTTCTGAGCACAAAGCCGCTTGAGGCTCTCGATGCCATACTGTAGCAACAAAACTAGCTTAGCTACCGTGATGAATAGTTTAAATGAACAAGCGCACGCACCCGATCCGCGGCAACAAACAGCTCTTTGACATCGTCATCCGCAACAGCAAGACGATCGGTGTATACATACTCTAACAGTGAAAGGAATGTCGCTCGACTGACATCTGAAATCTCAACTTCACCAGCTGTGCTTTCCTTCATCTAATCAAAGCATATCTCAGTAATTAGTTCTAGATTTCTTCATTAAAAACCTCTTGTAGGTCGTACCTCTCCAGTGAACATGGCCTTGAAGTAGTTGCAGCGAACACAGAGACTCTTGTGACCAAAGATCGGTTCTCCTTCGACTATACACAAAGCAGAGTCGTTAGTTAGGAAACACTAACTTTGCGTTTGTAGGAAGACTGTTCTTACCGATAAACGTAACGTCACTCATGAGTTGATTGTTGACGAGTGAGCGCAAGTGGGCAATAGCTGAGCCTTCTTCATCTGGCTCCAAATCTTCCTGAGTCTTGGATGTGGTCTTCTTCTCAGGCAAGTGGATCTGTTTGAAGCTGGCCGCTTCGTTGTGCTCGCTCAAAACGATCAAGTTGTCGTCACTAACGCACCCAGTAGGAGCGTTGCTCTTGGGAGAAGAACCAGAGTACGCTATAGTTTCCCACGTGTTCGATTCTGTAAGAAAAAAAATGCCAAGTCAGTAAAATATTTTGTGATCATCGTGATAGTGCCATCGCCGTACCAAGATCGAGCTCGTACAGATTCGGATCCGTCTGTCCGCCAAACACAATCAGGGAATTGTTGTGCAAGGTCACAAGTGGGTGGTGGCAACCTGTCGGAGCCGTGCCTTTGGTCTCGAGACTTGACCAAACGCGGGTCTCTATGTACACAATTCGTTGAACGCTAGTTAGAATAAAATATTCGCGCCAACAAGAGATCGAGAATAAATGTCGTACCGAAGTTGAAAACGTGGACGTCGTTGAGATAGCCCAGGTCGTGGTCGTATCCTCCGAAGAGCAGGCAGCTCTGGTTGTATACAATCATCGAGGCTCCTTCACTAGTATCCAAACAAGCAAACGCGTTAGTTCATGTTCAAACTCGTAAAAAAAAATAGCCAGTAGCTGCAGTTTTACCGAGGGTATGGGACTTCTCCGGTGGTGCGAATCAAAGACCATGAGTTGGTTTCTAGTACATTCGCAAAACAAGAAAACGTTAGTGAGAAGGACATTTCACATGGCAGATTTCTTGTAAAAACACACCCAAGTTAAAAGAATGCATGTCGTTAACGTGGCGACCAGAGTCCAGTCTGCCATATTCGCTGGAGCTGCGGCTTGACATTGACTCGCGGTCGTAGTGGCTATCACTTCCGCCGAAGATATACATCGCGTTGTCTGGTCATCAGAGAAATAATCAATCAGAATTGTGCATTCTCGTCCCCTGCATCAAGCAAAAACGTACCATACACCACCGCGGCGTGACCATATCTCGGCGTCGGTTGCTGTCCAGCGTTGACAAACACGTTGGTCCAGGTTTGCGTCACTGCATTCCCACAACACATATTAGTCTTGGCCAAAATCACACAATAATCTAGTGATACCGACTCACAGAAATTGTAGGAGAAGAAGTCGTTCAAGCGTCTGTCGCCGTCGTATCCGCCAAAGACGTAGAACGAGTCCTTATAGACTACAGCCGAGTGGCTCTTGCGCTGACTCGGAGCCACTCCATTGCCCAAAACCGTAGACCACTCCTTCCTAGCGAAGTTGAACTCGTAAAAGCTGTTGGTGGGGCGGATCACGGAACTGCTGCGAATCGGAGTTGCAGGAAGGTTTCGCTCTATGCAAAAACAACACGTGATAAGTCAGTTTACCGTTAAGCAAAGAGATGCACCGGAGACTTGGCAGAAAGACGATGGTCCACCCCACGAGGGTCCGAAACGTAGTCTTACCTCCATAGATATAAAGCGAGCCTTTGCGTACGGCACAGGCGTGGCCGGAGCCGATTAGAGGCGCTTCTCTCGGGTTCACACAGGGCACGGTGGCCCAGGCCGGTTGCTCGGAACTTGTCATATTGGCGATTGATTGGCGATTCCGCGACGTCGGACTGGGCAGGATCGACGCGAATCCAAGGTGTACACACGAAGTCACGTTAAAAGAGAGCGTTTGATCGTCCGATCGAAAGGTTCGGAGACTTTGCCTGACCTCCGCCGAAAGTGCTTGCTGACCTAAGACGAACGACGGCGGTGCCCGAGCGATTGGCAATCGGATGAAGACCAGCAGTGTTTGAGAAACATGCGAGGAGGTTGGGGCCGTGGAACTGGTTAATGGAAACCATGTGCATGCGACCATCTGAGCGCATTGCGTCATTATTCAGTTGCGGTGGCATTGTGCGTAAGTGCTTGAAACCTAAGACTTCCAAGAGGTGACACTGGCGCAAGATGGTTTGGCGGCACGATTCAGACAATGGTCATGCTTGTCTCCTTTACTTCTGGCGCCAGTTCGTTTACAACACCCAGCACATTGAGGTTATCTTTCGGGCTGCGACGGACGACTCGGGTCGCAATAATTACGGCCAACAACGGCCTTACAGTGGACACGTTTTCGTTAGAGGCGACGCACGCTTAACGGCGTTCAGCGTGAGTAGTCCCTAAGGACATGTGCAGTTGCTGTACGGGTAACTCGTTTGCTAAGTCAGAAGTCTCTGCCCTCCAGTTCTTGATTCAAGAATCTGCAACCTGTATTTAGGATGAGCAATGAGGAAAGCCAGATTACGGTTTGCAGTTTCTTATTAGGGAACCAGCAATGAATGGCAGCAATGAATGTTCCAGATCAAGGTGGCAGGTCCCCATGATGACGTTCATGCACCCAGGTCGCTGAATCACTCGGCATTGTCGAAGAAGCTGATGTAGCCTCCTCCGTCGTCAACTTGATTCGCACTAAAACTGTAGCCATCTCGCTTTCGTCACACGTCACATATTTCGCTTCATCAATCCCTTCAAACAGAATAATCAGTCTTCCCTCCAAGATCCATGGCGCTCCCTCTAGCGCCGGACTCGCAGCGCACGCGCGTCGTGTGTGGAGGTCTCACGTGGCCTGCAGTACGTGGCGCACGATTGCTACGTGCGTTGACGTCCACTCAAGAAGAAGAAGGTCACGCGGCAGAAGAAGAAGGTCACTTCATCACCGATTTCCCGTATGAATTGGAGCTTTGTGTCCCAACTGCGGGTCACGTGGCCCTAGTATTGGTGCACAAGCCCCCGGAGATGCAATTAATTCCAGCTGTGACTCGCAGCAGCACTCAACCCGCTCCAGCAGCTCCACGCGTAGTTTACGTACTGGATGCACTGCCTCCTTCACGTCGAGGAACTCGTGACAATAAAGCCAAATCAAGGAAAACTAAGACCCCGGGGACACAATTACCTCCGCAGCAAGTGAACGAGTTGGAGCTGCTCCAAGAGCTCTTTGCACCTCATACACGAGCCGCGGGGGGCAAAGAGGGCAGCGTTTTAATCAAACCTCCCGTCATGTGTGCCAGATTCGACTGTCGAGTGGTTTCTATCAGGTTTATTCGCAGTGGAGGCAGTATCCAACACCCTAAAAAGTCTCAGAGAGGACTAAATGACTCCTCTTCGTCGTTTAACTCGTCTAGAGTTACTGGAACGGCCCCATTAAGGTGTGTTGTGGCCAGAGAAGACGGCATGGCGTTTCTGTGGGAATGGCAGGCAGATCTGTTCCAGTGGGTGTTTTTAAACAGGTTATGCTTCTTAGAGAACCCAAATCTCAAGTGGACGAGACCTGTAGCAGCCTTTACGACCACAGATTTGCCATTGGAGAGTGTTAGTGACATTGGAAGTGGGAGGGGGTCTGGATCCAGTGGCGCGACGGAGTTTGTGTGGTGGTCGACAGCTACGAAGCACGAGCCGAAGCTCAAGCTGCGACGATTGCGCTTTGAACGCGCGACGGATGCATTGCGAGCTACTGATGTGGTTGTGGGCAGTGCGTTTACTCCAAAGCCAGCGTGCGACGACGTTGTAAACCTGCTGAGCTCCAAACTCGGTCTTTTTGCGATCTCCAAAACGCATGGAGTTTTATTTCGAAGCTCGACGGCTTCGTTACGGACTGTGGACTTGAGTTGGCACAATATTTTCGCCGGAAATGAGGCTCCAGAGATGTCACAGATAGCGATGTGTCTTCATACCGTGACTGGAGAGCTCATGATGCTACACCGACAGACAGGAGAAGTTTATCTCGTGACACCGAAGTCCAAGACCACCTCTTTATCCATGAACGAAGCAACTAACAGCGATAATGGATCGTGTACGACGCTTTTCGCGCGAACGATAACGACGTTGGCACTCTGGCAGCAGTCAAGTGAAGACCAGAACTTTGAAGTGCTGGACGTTGCAGCACATCGTCACGTATTCTTAATACTGACTCGCAGATTGATTCGCATATACACGCTGATCTCTGGCGACGTGCTTGAGACTGTAAATTTGCCAGATACGGTTACGAATTCTCAGCAACGTGGTGGGAAGTTCAAGTTGTGGACCATTGCAGGGAGTGCAAGTGCGGTAGGTCTATGGGCTCCAGGTGGGTTTTGGACGATCCGCTTGCCTCCAGCCAAGTCAGTTGCTAAAGCGCTGCATCAGTCTCAGCCCGTGAAACAACCGAGCGAAAGTGAACAGAACCCCGAGGCAGCATTCCTTGCTGTGAAGGACTATGGCACAGGTGATCTGCATCTAGAAGCAGTACGTTACGCCCTTGAAGTATTGGAACGTGTGACTCCTTCGGCGATGGATCCTACTCAATGTCATCCAGAGGCTTGGGAAGCCGTGTGGCACACTGTATCTAGTCCTGCTTTACTCCTGGCTCTGCTCGATAATCGAGCTACGTCAGAGCATGTTGTTCACGAGTTGGCTCAACATGTTGCCGCGATATACAAAACTGCAAGTGGCATCCGTTCCTACGGCCGATTGGATGGAGCTGGACAGAACGCTACAGCCAACGAGAATCATTTGCTTCGACTAACGCCTGCTAATCTTGAGTCGCTCCACCATCTCTCCAATTGGATTGTGCTCGCTAAGCGTAAATTGGTGCGGTTAGAAGCTAGCGGTGATAGCTTCAACGAATCCACGGACGATTCTCATACCCGACCAATTCGAGCAGCGAGTGACCTTACAAATGTACTCGCTAACAAAGACGATTTATCGGCAGCTCAGGACGAGGGATACGATCTTCAACGAAAAGATTCGATGATTGATCCCGAAGATGCGCGCAATTTTCGACTAAGTCGAAAGCTACGTCCTATGAGCAGTCTGCGTTTTGCTGCGGGATGTAGCACCAGCTCAGAACGACAGGGTAAGCAGTGGCTGCTGCAGCTCGAGTCTTTTCTCTTGGGTGGTGTGGCTTTCAAGGAACAACAATCCGGCGCGCGCCGTGCAGAGGCAACGCCCAGTCATCTTTTGTTCCACAGTGAGCGGGTGTTGGCAGACTTCCGCCACGTTGCGGCATCTTCGTTCTCCAAGCACATGTACCTGGAATCGATGAGTCGTCTGTATCTACTGTATCAACCGGAGTCGCTACTTCCTTTCATTCGCTGCGTCGAGCGCTTCTGCCCTCGGCTCTTCTCGTTAACTGGCCAACAACCTCTGGTTCGATCACACGCAGAGCGAGCGCTGACGCTTTTCCCTCCGCTGGAGCTGTTTACGAACAAGGTGCTTGAAGGGGAAAAAAGCAAGACCGGACAAGCAGCAAAGGCCTCGCTGTTAGCGTACGTGGGTCTTGTAAGCTACTGCGGCCACCACACTGAAGCGTGTAGAGCGCTCTTACAATGTCACCTTTATGATGAGAGCAAGGAGAAATTCTTGCTGCTGCTGAAGAGCTCTCGAGATGAACAGAGTCCTGGTGAAGACGAGCAAGAAGAGGAAGCCCAGGCCCGTAGTACGGCTTCAACCTCAATCTACTTCATGCTGCTGGAATACTGCATAAAACACCGTGATGCTGCAGAGTTGAAGGTACTTTTGATGCTCAAGCCAGCGCATGTGGATATGTTGCATGTACTACGATCCCTCCGGACTACTTTTTCCAACCAACCACAGAAAAGTGAAGGAGCTTGTGCCACTGGTGTCACTGTAGGCGACTTGCGATCGGTGTTGGTTGCTCTGATGCAACAACGACGTATCGGGGTGGCAAAGTGATTTCATAGTAGTGGTGGACGAGAAAAAATGGCGTTTGTGTTAAGGAAGTAAGGAGCTAACAGTGGAGTAAGATACCTTGAATTTGTGCGGCTCTGAAGATTTCCAGTGTTGGAGTGCAGTTGTGGGGGAAACAAGCAAGTATTTTACCACCAGCAAGCGGAAGCAAAGCAAAGTTTGTTATGGTTGTGAAAAATACTTTGAAGCAGCTAACTACTCGTCATGACAACGTTGAACTTGGAGAACGTCTCGTCCTTGGAGAAAATGAACTTGATGGTCTGTTCGAACAACCATTTACGCTTTGGGCGACGCAGTTGCCTTGTAGGTCGTGTTGGGCATCGGGAAGAGCTCGAGAGCGGTGCCGTTCATTGGAGGTTTCACATTGTCCGCTTCCTTCGCCTTCTCGTTTTCAGCACAGTGTGTTGGGCAGTGATCATCGTCATGGTCGGTCTTGACAATCATCGGCTCATCCAGTTTGTGGTGGTCCTTGTCATCCGTCGGCTTTGACGTTGGGTAGTATTTGTCCTCCGTGGGCTTCGGTGTGCGATAGTGCTTGTCGTCTTCTGTCGGCTTCGGGTACTTATCGTCCGTGGGCTTTGGAGTCGGGTAGTACTTTTCGTCGGTCGGCTTTGGAGTCGAGTAATGCTTGTCGTTCTCGGTTGGCTTGGGATAGTACTTTTCATCGGTGGGCTTCGGCGTTGGGTAGTGTGTAGTCGGCCTCCGTGTCGAGTTTTTGGTGGGCTTCGGAGTCGATCCGTGCTTGTCGTCTTCGTGGCTCTTGTCGTTGCAAGCATTTTTGAAGGAACAGGCCATCTTGTACGCGTTCAGCTTCACACCGGCGAACGACAGGTAGCAATCCGCAGGCTCCAGTGCGAGAACGTCTTCGATTAGCGAACGGCAGTCATCGGATGCACACATGGCCTGAACTTGCGAGTCTGTCGGATAGCCCTTTGGTGGGGCCAAGGAGAAACCAGCCGAGACTTTCTGGCACGGATGCAGGTGTGGGTTAGCATAAAGCTCAGCGAACTTCACGATCTCAGTCGAAGGACAGGCGTCTTCAGCGGCTACGAAAGCCGAGAGCAGCAAGAAAAAAATGCCGATCTGCATTGTTGCTTGAGTGGTCCAAAAGGTGACGAAGCTTGAATTGTCTGGAACTGGTTGCCAAGTTGGAAGAAAATTGGAGAATGAGGACGATAGCAGCGAGAGCTTCTCTCGCTGTAGCATACCTTTCTTTGAGAAAGGTCGATATCACCGCCCCCTGTATTCTCTTGCAACAAGATGAAGAACTATCAAACATGAGAAGAGACAACGTACACGCAACCCATAGCTGCACGTCAAGCCACAGCCATAGTAATTCAGCATTAGGAAGAAGAGACAGACATGGGTCGTATTTATCCAAGTCCATCAAACATACAGTAAATCTCTCAGTTTTAAAATGCAAACCCCTGTGGGGCATCAATCTCCTCATTCATGCTCTTCAAGTCTAGGCCTGTAGCTCCCAGAGCACAAGAGCCACCGAACGCTGTACCCACTGCGTTTTCGGGAATGCACTTTCCTCGACATTCACCGCGACCGAGAAGAACAAAGTCTCACGCTTGCTGTTCGAATACACCGGAAGCAGTCGAAGGTTGTCCGTTTCCTCGCTCCGCGGTGCCCAGCGAAGATGCAATGCAGACAAGCTGTTGCGGATTTCGTTAGATGGTGCAAAGCCGGTGAAGTTCCAAATGGCTCCCTCCAATAGAAGTCCACGCGCGGTAAAGCCACCAGCAGATGAAGTCGAAGGGTCCTCCACATCGGCAAGCAGATGCAACTCATCCAGCGAGCAGCCAAGATCTGCCGCTGCACTTTGGCGTGCAGCCGTCACGAAAGCTTCAGGCGAGAAGAACCCACCGAGCCAGATACCACCAGGTTGCTGCAGAATCTCGGTCGGAGCGACTTGAGACAGCGTGTTCAACTGGTGCACACGTCGGGAGAAGTCCGCGAGCCACTCGCTCAAGCTGAGCTCGTCAGAGACACGATACAGTTGTGCCCATTGTTCAGGCACCTGCTCTCGGTAGAGTGTACGCATGGCCTCGCGGGTTTCATTCGACGGCTTCGCCTTGTAAGCACAAACCTGTTGCACTGTCCGAAGCAAGCCAACCACGTCACCCAAGAACTTTGCTCCGAGTTCCAGCTCACGGAACATACAGCGGTAGACAGGATTGCCGAAGTGCACTGGATCACGAACAGTGGGCACAGCAAGCCCCTCCGCTGGAAAGAGCTGCAACCAGGCGCCAACACGATGGTCCAGATCCTGTACCCACTTGGGTCGGGCATCTCCACCGTCAGCAGTAGCAGTGCCCAGTACCATCTTACTCTCGTCATCTGCCGCAGCGCTATCGTCTCCTCCTTCACTGCCGTAGAAGTCCTGCATCACCTGCAAGTTCCGCAGTATGCGTGCACCCTGGTTGATAAGCACCATCCTCTCCGCCGACCGTGGCAGACCCATCCACGACGGTGGGTTCGTGGTCGGGAGAGCATGGACCCAGTCCATGAATTGCGCCTTGGTCTTGCCCTCGGCAATCACAAGTCCAGTATCCTTGCCTTCGCCAGGCGGCACAAGCTCGAAAGTGTTCTCGTAGCTGGCAGCGGTGAATACATGCTCCAAAAGCGTATCCATCAGCTCCTGGTCGAACGTATTGTCCACACGGCCACCGTAGACCGACTCCTTCAGCGTAATTCGGATGGCTGTCCACGGGATGTTATCAGGCGCAACGTGCACACGTCCACTGGCCACTGAATCCACCCAGCGATCAATCACGTCACAAGCACCACGGAAGTCAGATTGGCTGAACTCGTACGTTTTCGACCAGCCGATGGGCACGAAACGCAGTCGCTCGTGCACCAACGCGTGGAACCACGCAAGCAGCAAGTACAGACGAGCACGTTCGGTCGGTGAGCGGTTCATGCGGTCCGCTGCCACAGTGTCCAGCGAGCGCACCATACTCAGCTTCATACCACTCGGAGGCTCGAACACGAAAATATCGCACATGCGCACGAGGTTCACTGGCAAGTTGGGGTTAATCTCGCTCGTCAGGAACAGACGGAAGTTCGGGTGTACACTCTCGCGCGCGTTGTAGAGCTTCTTCTCCACACTTACAAGCCATGACGGACACAAGTGCACATTCCGCAGCAGCAACCAGGTTCCATGCTTCAAAGCAGTGTTCAGACCCTTCTCCGCAGCGTCGAAACCTTCCGACGAACCCATGGACACCGAGTTGTACTTCTTCTGCTGGACTGCTGCGAGTTCGTCAATCTGCGCACTTGGATCGAAACCCGTAGTGGAGCACAAAAGCACTCCACGCGTTGCCTGAGTATCTTCTTCAACGTTCTTGGACAGCTCGATCTCGCCACGCCACGGGAACGATGCCGTAAATACCAGCTCGATGTATCGCTCCGACGCAAATGTGATACGATCCGGACGTAGGAAATGAATCACGATCATGTTCCGGAAAGCAGAACGACGCGGACTAGCAGAAGCAGCCACGCACCCAGCATCCCAATCCGCAGGGAGAGCTTCCTCAGCTGATGCGGTCTTGATAAAGCTATTCCACTCCTCAGCGTGCTCACGCACATGCGTCTCAAGGTGCTTGAACGTCGACAGCTTCATCAACTTCAGCAGCTGATCAATTTCAGTCTTCGAGAAAGCCGGTAGCAACTGTTCAAACTCGCTGCGCTGTGCACCGCTATCAGTCTTGAAGAAGGTCGACGAGGTTCCAAGAAGTATGTCCATGTCTTCATCCGTAGGTCCATCAAATGCACTGCTGTCATCCATCGTTGTTTTAGCTTCAGCGACTGCAGCACTCTGCTGCTCCAGCTCCAGATAAATCTGAGACAGCCGCAACGCAAACATGAGCTTGTCGTTCTCTGCAAGACCTCTACTCACTCGTCTAGCAAGCTGGACGAAGAGTCCGGTAGAAATACTGGCAAGGCGAGCCGAGTCTCCTCCTTGGGTGGGCTGGGCCAACACCTTGGACAACAAGGACAAGAAGAAGTCAAGCGAGTACTGGTACAGGAAGTGGACCGATGACAAGTTCTCCAACGCGAAGAACAAGCGTGAACTCGCCTTCGCAAGCGGTCGGTAGCGACTTGTTGCTTCCTCCACAATCGCCATTGTTGTCTCAGTTTCCGCCACTTGCTGTGAGATCTGGGCAGCCTCCGCCTTCATACTTTCCAGAGCATTGATGACCCGGTCGTCGTCCAGAATGTTGCCCTGTACATTGTTGATCTGTTGCAGAAGAGAGTCCTCCAGCTCGCGTAATTTTGCCTGGTACTCGCCCTGCAACTTGAGAAGATTGTTACGCTTTTCCTCTGCTTCAGGCTGTTCACTCTTGAGTAGAATGCTCAATCCCTGACTCTCCAACGAACTTGGGGTGACAGTGAAGTTAACAAACGTCACGCGGCTGCAGATATCAGGCGAAAAACGGCACGAAGGATCTCTCGTGATCAAGAAGAGTCGGAAGTCCGGAGAGTAGTCGATTTCCTCGCCTGCGAGACGAATCAACACGCGACCACCGGTCTTGTAGAGTTCACGGTTCAACACAGGGTTCAGGATTGGGTCGATATTCTCCACTTCGTGCACCAAAAGAGCAGTGCCGAAGCGAATAGCACTGGCCAAAACCTTCATGAACGAGCTGTCCAGGAACGACGTTTGCGTGATCTTCGTACTCGTCTTGAGACTGTAGTACTTCATGATGAAATTGTTCGCTTGTCCAGAAGGATCGATGATCAACGGGAAGCGGTGGAAGCGCTGCAGAATGATCGCGTTCTCGTAGCACAACTCGTCCGAAGGTAAGTCGCTCATCTGCCACTCCAGCTGTTCATTCGGTCGCGACAGATAGTCCACGAAGCTCAACTGCGGCTTCGTGCTGATGCCCATTGAGTCCAAGATGTCACGCCAGTCCTGAACCAGAATCTTCCGCTGTTGGAAATCAAGGAAGCCGATGTAGGTGAGGAACGCAGAGGACAACAACGTATCGCCCACGAGCGTCTTCATCTGAGTGTCGAAGTCGTTCGAACCAGCTTCCCAGCGCTCACTCTCTTGCAGCAAACTCTTTAACAATGCCACAGAACGCTCCACCTTCTTAGACACCGAAGCCATGTCGTTCGTGATAATCTGCGCCTCGTTGATCAACGCCGCATACTCGTGCTTGAAGTTCTCGATGCGAATCTCGAGCGCGTCGATGGTCTTTTTGGCTTGCTCGTATCTCTCACGCAGATCCGACGACGTGTCAATCAGAGTCTGCACCTCGTCTCGCAGCGGTTGGATTTTGTGCAGGATATTCGTGTAGTTGAGCTGCGACACAATCCATTTGTACAACGGACCACACGCCTTCGACGCGCGATTCACCTTTTCATAGTCAAATTCATCAACCTTGTCAACGTAGTTCGTCTGGATCGTGTGCCGCTGGCGACCTGTCAGCTTCTCCGAGTCGAAGTTCACAACCTGCGAGATAAAGTCGTCCTTGCGAATAAACTTACGCAAGTCAGCCCATTCCAAGCTGGATTCGCCAAGCATTACCGCTACTGCCTCCATCGTCATTCGGACAGCGGCAGGAGGACGTGCAAGCGCTCGAATTTCATCAAGCTGAGCCTTACGAATCGAGTTCACGGACGCCTGAGCATCCAGAAGCGCAGGCTCGGCCTGCGCAAGATCAGCCTCGACAACTTCCTTCCGCGAGCGGATCTCTTCGTCCTTGCTCGCAAGGTCAGCAGCAAGTGCCTCCGTGTCCTTCTTCTTTTCTTGCGCTTCATTCTGCTCCTGTACCATCTGTTGAAGCTTTTCGTTGGCTTCCACGTCCTTCTTCTTCAGCTCCTTCTCCTTCAGACTGAGCTGACCTTGCAACTCTTCCACCTGCTCATGAGTAGCTTGTAGCTTTTGCACACCTACATTCAAGTGAAGCTGCTGGTCCTCCAGCTGAGCACGCTTCTCCGAATACAGCGACACAAAGTGACGGATAAATTCCAGGTAGTCTCTCGGAGAAATGTGGTTGTACTTCATGTGACGCTTCTGCAGACGCCGCATGTGAAGCAGCACAGCATGGTGGAACTGAACAATGCTGCCCACCAGCACGTCACGGAACGTTCCTGTCGCAATATGCGGGATCAGTTTCGCCAAGACCGCAGCAGCATCATCTGGAATGATAAAGTCCGAGGACCCAGCAAGATCCAGAGTGTTCGTAAACTCGTACGCCACTTGCGCTAGTGCGTGATCATTCCACGTACCGAACCAGTCAACCACGCATCGGTTGAAGAGAGCGGGAGAAGTATTGGTACGGTTCTGGAAGTCACCCGAAGCTGGGTTCATGGTAAATACAACGTGAAGGTTTCGCTGTACCTGCTTCGTAAAGTATCGGAACAGTTCGTCCTCGGTATTCTCCACAATGACGCCGTCACGCTGCACAGCTTCACGGCAAGCATGCATCAGTGACGTGTACTCATCGTCTTCGAACAGACCAGGCACTTCACCAGATGCAAGCAGAGCGTTCATGCGTTCCAAGAACGCAGAATCCAGCACGTTGGACTCGTCAAAGATGAAGCAGATCTTCTCAGCTTCACAACCACATCGTTTCAGCACAACACGGAGGTCGTCGTCAAAGTTGTCCAGAGTATAGTTCGATGTCAGCTTGATCTGGAACACAGACATGCCGTTCATCCAACTAACGAAACGCGACAACACGGTCTTTCCTGCGCCACTTTCTCCAACCAGCAGCAAATGGCCAAGCGGTTGACGAAGCACGCGATCAATGCGAAGCACATGATCGATAACCGAGTCGAAAACCACCAGCTGAACGTTAAGCTCTTCTTCGTAGAAAACACGCAAGCGAGCTTCAATATGCTTGCGGAGATCCGTCGTCGTGACTTCAGTGTAGTTCTTGGAAAGCCACGTACTGAACAGAATCGGGTGTTGGCCTCCATACTCCACCACCTCCAGAGCAGTAGCACTTTGCGGGAAATGGTTCCTTAGCGTCTCCTTCACCATGCGGAAGCACCACTTTTGCTCATCAGATGTCACTAAGCGATCCATGAAAAGTCGCAGAGCTTCGTGGAAGACCAGCTTGACGAGTGTTTCGATGTCGATTTCGTACTCCAATGGTTCAATAGCTTCGTACAGCGCACGCATCCATCTCGACAGCTCTCGCGGACTGTAAATGTAGTGCGGTTGCATCTCCGCCGTGAATTTCTTCTGGTTGCTATCGTACACGTCAACCATGGCATCAGTAAGTGGCTGCACGTACGACCGAAGAGATGGCGTCAGTTTCAGCAGAGCACGGTTAAACGTTCCGTAAATCTGCTTCAACGAAGGATACGACGGGAAATCAACCAGAAGCACAGGCGCATGGCGCAGCAGACGCAGAGAAATCGGCACACGGCCTGGATCCGTCGGCGGGTTACACGCACCGACGAACTGAATGCGTTCCAACCGCACCCAAGTGTTCTTACCGCCAAGCCAAAAACCACCTTGCTCAATCAGTTGCCTCAAGAATGTGATCACGCGTTGTGTTCCATACCGGTCAGCTTCCGGAAGATTGATCTCATCGCAGAACACGACGAGCCATTTCTCCGGTGCATTTGGCGCCAACAACATTCCATTGGGTGTGCGTTTGTATTCGCAATACTGAGAGAACGTCTTCAAGATAAGGTCGGGCGAGGTACCAGACGAGAAGTTGAGACTCGCGAATTCGAATTCAGGAAGCGAGTTGATCGTGGACGTCAACGTCATCGTCTTACCACTACCGGGCGGACCACAGAGAATGAGTGGACGATGTTGAGAAAGCCATCCACGCAGCACTTCAACGTGACGAATCGTATCCACAGTTGTCACCACAACATCAGTTGACAGTACTTGGTGGCTCTCAAGATCCAGCTGCGGAATCGATCGCAACCACTGGCGCCATTCACCGTCATCGATGTTAACTTCGTACTCAAGAAGACTGTTGTCTGGACTGGACGAAGCAGAAACAGGGAAGACCAAACGATTCTCGAGTGTTTGCACCACGAAATCGCACAATATCATGCGGTTTGACGAGTCCATAGACCCCCCGAAGCCCCACAGAACTGAAAATACAAACCACTTCGGCACAAAGCGTGACATTTGCTCAATCGTCATCGGGAAATCAGAGTGTCCTTCGTTGTACTCGTTGATGCGAGACAAACCGCGTCCAAGTAGTGTAAACATCGACATAAGCAGCCGTAGTGCAGTTACCTCCATGATGTGCACTTGACCCATTGCCTGCTCCAAGCAAATCTCAATCAACGAGGGCATTCCATCTCCACGACTTATCAGCTCACGGAGGAGAGCGACGTAGGTGTGCGCAGTCTTCTTCGCCAGCTCACTTTCGCTCGGCTGCAGCGAGAATGAGGAAACAACAGACACATCATCTCGCATTTTCAGCAGATAGTGCTCAACGATGTGGCACGTCTTCACCGTATCATGCGAGAACCAAACCATACCACAGCGACTGACCGTAGCCAGAGTGGCGTAGCGCAAAGTCTCCGTTTCCATCATGATCCACACATTCGGAGGAATCTCAAGACGTTCGCCTGACGGAAGCGTCAGCAGGCGGTTGTCATCCAACACCGAGTTCAAGTTCTCAGCCCATTCTGGATCCACGTCGCCGTCAAAGATAATCCAGTGTCGCTTCTCGCTTTCACCTCTCACGCTGTTAAGCACCTGTCGAAGCAAGTGTGTGAACACACCGTCTGTCCACTCAAGCGTCGTGTTGTCAAGAACACCGTACAAATGCTCCTTCGAAAGAGCCTTCGGATCAATCACATGTGCTTCGCCCTTCACACCATCAACAAGCTCCATAGCGTTCATCAGCACGCGCCACGCGCTCGACTTTCCAGTTCCAGATGCGCCAACAAGCATCACACCGTGTCGAAGTTGCATGACCTGGTATAGCTGCAACGCCTTCTCGACCCATTGGTCGTATGCAACGAAATTGTTTTTCTTTGCCAGCTCAACAATCCGTGCGCGAAGAGTGTCTTCTTCGATACGATGAGCTTCAGTGCCCGGGAACACTCCCTTCAGGAGCGTCTCGAATACAGGGACATCGTTTGAAACGAGCTTGGGCAAAATCGTGTCAGTAATAGAGCCGATCAGCGCCTTCGTTTCCAGCTCCTCAATGTTTGCCGGAGTCGCATCATCCTGTGATTGGGTGATCTTTCTCTTGAGCTGACCAGCACTCACTAGCACGCTCTTCAACGCGCGAAGCCCGAAGTCATAGTGAGGCTGCTTCGAAAGTTGGTCTTCGCAGAGATTAAACAGAAGCACAACCTTGGCCGAGATCTGCTCCGCTGTGGTAATACCCTGGGAGAATAGCATCACCTGCGCGATCAATTCGCGATCCGGGGCAACCATTGCGATGCTGCGGAACAGTTGCTTCAAGTTGTCCGGTAGATTCGATCGGCCAGCGTAACCCGGGTTCATCGTCACAAAGATACCCACATCGGGATTTAGCTTAACGCTCTTGCCCAGCAACTCGATGGTAGCTGTGGAACTGCTACCGTTCGTGAGCGCCTGCGCGTTGTTAGCTGCCTTACCGCCCTTCAGCGAGGACACTCCACTTTGGATAGCCAAAATTTGTTGGGACACGGCAGAAAGCACGCGCTCCTCAAGACGATTAAACTCGTCGAAACACCCCCAAGCGCCAACTTGACACAAACCAACAAAAATACGACCCATCGCTTGGAAATCGAAGTGTTCGTCACAGTTGAAGACCAGTACGAAGCGACCCAAGTGGGATCCTAGAGCCTTTACAGACTCTGTTTTACCTGTGCCGGCAGGACCGAACGGATTTCCGCCCATTCCGAAGTCCAGCGCTTGCGTCAACGTTAGGTAACAGCGTTCGGTAAGTGGCGTTTGCACAAGCCTCTCGCCAACACCGAAGTACTCGAATCCGTACGAAAAACTCGCGTTGGAAATCTGGATAGTGAGTTTCTTGAGCGGATCCGACTCCTTGGCTTGGAAGTAGTGACGCATGTGATACAGCCAACGGAAGTCTTCTGCACTGCCCACCTTGGCCTGACTCAAGCGTTTGGTGACGCTCTTCTGGTGCACAAGTTCCGTAATCAGTTGCTCATACTTCTTCCGTACATCATTCTTCACATCGGTCAGGACACGTTCACTCAAAATGAGAAGCAACTTATCCAGCTGCTCGATAACCACCGATAGTTTGTCACCACCAGCCTTCAAGACGCTTTCAACTTCGTTTGACCATTGCACCTGGGTAGCAAGGATGATCACTTGAGCCGGGAATTCGGATACCCACTTCAGATACGCCTCGGCATTGTCATCCGTCGGGTATGAACGCACAGCTTCTTCCAGAAGAAGTGATAGTGTTTTACGCATCTGCTCTTCGACCTTGCCCAGCCAGATGTTGATGCGGGTATCTTCGGTCGTCTTCACTGGCTCTTTAAAGTGGACGACTTCGCCTTCACGTGATGCCATTCCCAGAATTACACCCGAACTGTTGTCCATCTCCAACGAAGAAATGCCAGCAAACATTTTGGACAGATGCCGCTGAATCTGCATCGGCTCCTTGCTGTTGCCAATCATTTCCAGCAAGTCTTCATCGCCTACGAAATAGAATCGAGGGAATGCAGCTCGCTGACGCTCCAGATATTCACCCAGAGCACGCTGGACGTTGCCCATCATGTCTTGCTGACGCTCAAGCGAATGATACAGGTTCGGGATATTGGCGACATCCACGATCATTGGCTTGTGCGCAACGCGCTTCATTGTCGAAGTGAACTCATTGTCGACGCTCTGGAAACGCGCGAACTCCTTCGGCAACTGCTGCTTAATATCCGCTGATCCGAAAAAGATGCCTTCAAGGTATACCCAGCGTCTTTGAACATCGATCCAGAAGTCGAGGATGCTACGAATCCTAGTGAGTTTGTCTTCCCAGCTCGTCGCGAGCTCGGCAAACACGCGGTAGTACGGAGACTGCTTCATACTGCTCAAACTGTTGAGATGTTCATCAAGCTTGGCAAACATTTCGTCCCAACCGCGAATGACTCGGCAACGGTTCTGGTAGTTAACCAGGTCAAGCTGGTAGTTGGTCCAGTAATCTGACACTTGGCGCAAAAACTCGTCAAGTGCCATCTCGCCCTGAGCCGTACGAATAATCGACTTGAGCTCATTGTCGTTGGCGGAGATCTTGGATTCCCAGAAATTGCGTAGAGTCAGCTCCGTCAACGGAGACGAGATATTCAGCAGCCGCAGAATCTGCTTCCAGTGACGGTCACGAACAGCATCCGACTTCAGTTCTGACAGCAAAGAATTCATGGCCTTACGCGACTGAATAACCGACGTGTAATGCTCAAAGGCTTCGTACTGTTGCACTCGGGAAGGGAAGCGGCGCATCTCATCGACAATTTCATCGAGTTGCTTCCGGACTTTGCGCGGGTGAACTGCAGACCACAGTGTATCTTGCAGCTCATCAACTTGAACCCAAACCTTCGAAATGCTCTTCCAGACCTCATCCAAACCAGCTAACTCCTCCATGGCTCTCGAGAGATCGCTGTACGAACTGCGGTCGTCGTCAATGGAAGAGCCTCCCATTCCAGACACATACGAAATGTTCAAAGCATTCAATGCCGCATTCGTTTTGTCTTGTTCAGCGCGCAGCAGCTTGAAGCGAGTATCGAAAATGATCAGAGTTTCCGTAGCAGCCTTCGGTGATTGGTCACCTTGCAACGGCTTGGAGCTGTCCCATTCAGCCACGCCCTTGTTGATCTTACTGTCCAGTGTGCTCTTCTCTTCCATGATCTTAGCCTGAAGTTGAGGCAACTGGCTTTCCATCGCAGCAGTCTTTCGCTCTAGCAGCTGAATAAAAGCTTCCCACTCTCCTTCCACATTCGCCAGCGACGGCCAATCTGCCGTGAATCTGTATCGCTGCTTCTTCAGCAAACGCTCTCCCTGTTCGAATGACTCCACAGCTTCTTCCCATTGGACACGCATCTGACGCATTTCTTGGATTAGCGTGATAGCAGCAACTACTTGCGCGGTGGCAGCTTCAAGCGCATGTTGCTCCAGAAGCGTTCGCTTAGATGAGATTGTCGAGTAGAACGAGTTGATTTGGTCGCGAAGAAGATCACCGAAGTAGGCAAGGAACTCATTGTGCCATGCGTCATACTTCACATTCACTTGCGCTTGCACTTGCTGGTAATTAATCACCATCGGACCGAATCGCTTCGTGTTGAAGACGGCATCAAACGCGTTACGTTCATTCTTGATATCCACTAAAATCTGCTGCCACTTCCGAAGATCCTCTCCAACACTGTTCAAGGCAGTCTGCGCGTCCATATCCCACAATGCTTGGTATTGAAGCCACGTGGACGCATACTTTTCCACATCACTCACAGTGACATCCAACACACCGTACGCTTTAATGAGCAAGTCCAGGGGCACTTTGTTCAGCGCCTCCTTGAACACAGCCTCGCGCCGTCTAGAACTAGCACTCTTTCGGGGCGGTGACGATAAGGCTAACACAGTCGACTTTCCATACACATTTTCATACGACGACGTCTGAATCTTGGGCAGATCACACACAGAGTTCAGCAAGTTTTGAAGCTGAGCAAGCCATTCCCGACGCGCGTCCCCAACTGAAGGCTCCAAATACAACACTTGGTTCTTGAGTAGGATCTGGTGGGTCGTAACAGTAAGTCCGGCCTCGGCAAGAGCAGCTTGGAACGACTTTTCATCGGGCTGAGGACCAAAGCAAGCAACCCAGCGTTGCAGCAACACCTCGAGCTTCTTGCCCAGCATCTCGCTAATCAACACGTTCAAGTTCTTTACAAACACGTGCAAGTTTGCATATCCAGCCAAGCTCAACTCATCGACATGCGCTTGAACTTTCGCCAACACAGCTTGAACAGCACTGGCTTGGAAGTCGGAACTAGTCCGGACACTCTCCAGAAGAGCGTCAATTTCGCTAGTCTTCTGCAGCAACTCATCCACTTTATCGTGTAGACGCTCCACTTTCGTAGCAAGGTCAGTCACGTACTCACCCAATCCATCGGCATGCCATCGCATTTCATTGCCTTTCGTAAACGTCTTACCAATGGTAGCACGAACTTCACGAACATATGCAGCCGTTAGCGCCTCGAAAATTGGCTGGATACGTCGACACGAGCTAGTGTACGTCTTGAGACTGGCATCCAGAGACATTGCAAACGGGTACTTTGACTTGGCATCTTCAGCAATCATCTTCAGCGTGAAAGGCACACGATAGCCCAACCACTCCAGGTTTCGCACTTCCTTGAACAACGTCACAATTTGCTGGTTGAATGCCACCACCAACTTTTTCTTCTCACCCTGTGGCGTATCTTCCGTCACGATGTTCAGAATAATATTTTTGATGTCGAAGATCGGCATTGATGCCAAATCGTTCACCCACTGGTCGAAGATAAGCTGCGGGTTCAATTTAGCAATAAATGCCTCAGCCGCTGCCTTAAGGGCCTTGCCTTCCACGTGCTGCTCCCAGCCAATGCCAAGGACACTTTCAACACGTGACAGCAGCATTTTCAGCTTTCGTTCGATTTGCTTCGCCCACATCACCGCACCAGCGATAGGAGGAATATCGCGCAACTTGCTTGTGCGCGACGCCTCTGAGTACGCATAGTGAGCACGGAACTTAGCTTGCAGGTTGCTCACGTCCTCCTTGACGTTTTCAATCAGCTGCATCTGGAACTGCTGCACAGCGCTGCGAATACGAGGACGGAAAAAGAGTGCGTTGTACTTGGAGAACACGCGGAACATCTCGTCGGCGTTCGAAGTAGCACTTAGCCGACTGGTAAGGCTGTTGATAATACGCCCTTCAACGCGGTCAATGCAGAGATCATACGCCTTACGTAGGTTCTTCCAAGCAGTCATGCCTTCGCCAGACACATCAAGAGGATCCAGGGAGTTCAATTGGGCGTACGCCGAGTTAATTTCAGCCAGTGCGTCGTTTGTGCCATCACCTCCACGGGCCTCGTCCAATCCAATGGCGTTCGATCCACCCAGCACTCTCTGAATCACATCACGCAGCTTCTCGTGCTGCTCTCGGAACTCGTACAGCTCCAGCAATCGCTCTTCAATCGCAACGTGCTCCATCTGCAACTCGGAGAGCAGCGGCAGCTTTTCCGTGTTGATCGAACCACCTCGTCGCTTGAAGAGCTCCTTCGTGAGGTCATAGAGCGCTGTAACCTGACGGTGCCAGTTGGTGAAAAGCTCCTTACACGACGAAACCAGCTGCTCGAACTGGTTGAACGGGATCTCAATGAGGCTGTAGACGCGCAGCAAACTAATTACCTGCTGCGTTAAATCACTTGACATGACTTCCACTAAATGCAGCAGACGCGACAGATTGTACGAGTCGGCCACGCGGATCTTCTTCAAGTGGGTGAAGACAAGAGTCACTCCTTGGTTCAGCTGGCTAATGTCCGTGGCCGACAAGATGGAGTTCATTGGGAACTCCTTCATAAGCGTCATGACACTAGACACCTGTTGAAGCGCCGGACCCAAGCCGTGGTCAGTGCTGAAGGAAACTGTAGCCAGATATCTCTTGGCTCGTTGCAGCACTGCCAGCGTGATCTCAACCTCGGGAGACTTCAGTTTCTCCTGCACAGCAAGAAGAGCGCGGTTCAAATCGCACCAAAAGTTGATCTCCTGCATGGCAGTTCCTGGCAATGGCTCGTTCACCAGACGCGTGACTTTCTGGATCTCCTTGATCCACTTGCTCACACCTCCCTGGATGGTATTGACGAAGGCCACGTCGTTCACTTTATCCTCCAGTCCGAGCGCTTCCACATCAATTAACACGCCTTTCTCGCGGACAAGCTCCGCTGCCTGTTGAATCACGGGGTGGAAAATCAAATTCACCTCTGGGATCTCAATGTTTTGCTGATACTGGAGCAAAGCGAGCTCCAGCTCCTTCATCCTGCGTCGAATGGCTGGTAAACCTCTCGTTCCTTCACTCAGATTCGTCATCTCGCTTTGCGGCATGTGCACTTTGGAGTACTCATTTACGAGCGGCGTGAAAGATTGGTGCACGTAGTTGTAAACAACAGAGAGCAGGTTGCCCCTGTCCTCGTCCTCTTCCTCCGTGTTTTCGCCACTGCTACTTGTGGCCGTGTCCGAGTCCGCTTTGTCCACTTCCTTACTACCTAGTCCGAGCGTCATTACCTGCAGCTGGTGGTTAAGCGTTTGGTCCTTGGCCAGCGGCGCACTGAAGCGCTTGATGAAGCACACCACGTCGTGCCCGCTCTTCTTGCCGGGCGAGTACTCGATGCCCACGTTCACGCGCACTCGGAACGTGGAGCCGTCCATGGGACTGTCCTCATCGGCGCGTGCGGGCAAGCAGTGGACCTGCAGCACGCGCGTGGCTGAGTCCGACACGAACTGGTCCAGAGTGTTGGTCGCTTCCGCACTCGCGAGGTCAGTCTTGAAGCTGTCCACGCTGAGCGACAAGCCCTCGCCGAAGAGCGGCATGCATGTGGACAATAGATAGCGCTGGAAGTCGGCAACGGGCAGCACGTCGGCGGCTGGCACCGTCACTTCCGCGCTGCTCGCCATGCACCTCTCTACCTTTACTTTGACTGCGTGTGCTTGACTGGCTTGGTCTTTGTATAGCGAAGGGCAACTTTTTGGCCCTCCGCGTTGTTGTTGCCTTGCTTTCCCTGCCTCCAAGTCACTTCGACGCCAAGGTTTCCTTCGTCGATCTTTCAGGTGAGGGGGAGTGGCGATCTGCGATCAGATCTAGATTTGAGTTGCGGTAGAATCAGATTATGTTGCGTTAAAGCTTCATAGAAGTTGCGCTAGCAGGGTCGATAAAGGCGGGAAAAATAACCTCAATGAACATGGTGCAGGCACCACCAAGGAGGCAAATGAGAGCATGCGTGGGGGGAGCTGACAAAAACTCATATTTAGTTATATACGCGTCGCCAAGAGTGTAATGCGATCGCTGAAAAGGGGAAGCCGAGTGGTAACTACGTTGCTGGAGAGAAGGGGTCTCTGCGTGCCTCTAAAGAGGCATCCGTTTCTTGTTCTGTTTGTTGATGAGATTCTTGTGGATGTGCGGGATGACGCCACCGCCAGCGATCGTGGCCTTAATCAGCGTGTCTAGCTCCTCGTCTCCGCGAATAGCAAGCTGCAGATGGCGAGGCGTGATGCGCTTCACCTTGAGGTCCTTCGATGCATTGCCCGCCAGCTCTAACACCTCGGCAGTCAGGTATTCCATGATGGCGGCCGCGTACACGGCTGCCGTAGCGCCGACGCGTTGATTGTTGGCCACACGCTTTTTCAGAAAGCGATGAATACGCCCCACCGGGAACTGGCAGCAGTCAAAAAGAGTGAGCAAGACCATTGTCATAAACCGCACGTGGAGTACTTACTTGGAGCCCAGCACGTTGCGATCGCGACTGTGGTGCTCGCTTGGACGTGACGCCCTTGCCACCTTTACCTCCCTTGCCGCCTTTGCCGCCGATTCCTGACTATAAAGCAAACACATCAGCTATGAAGAGACACCCTCCGACAGCACCACGCAACCCACCATTATGACTGAAGATTCCAAAATGGCTCAAAAAGGGAGACTCCTCGGAGGATACGGATTGGCTGAAAACTATCATACACGTTCTATCCGGCTAAGTTCGAAACAGACCCCTTAAGTAAAACAAAAAAATGGAAATCAGTGTACCTATTTCTAAATGGGAAAATGTCAGAACGTGTGGGCTACACAAACGTTTTGACACTTTGGAAAAAAAAAATGTGCCTGAACGTGGTCAACATGCATGTAAGGGCGGCGTTGACAGTATGTGTAGTAAGTGAATGCGCCCCCCCCCCCCCAAAGTCAAACAAACAAAAAACGGAAATCAATGTTCCTATTTTTAAATGGGAAATTGTCAGAACGTGTGTCTAGAAAGTGAATGCGTTTGTCACGAAGTGTAGCTATACGGATGCTACACTTCACATTTGAATGGCTATCAGAAAAACGAGTCGGGTCTAACCCCAAAACCACGTAGTGTACTATTATTTCGTATGGGTAGAACAGGCCAAGCAATGCACTTATCGTAAAAGTATCATTAACCAATTTTTGCGACTGAGAGACTCAATATGGAGGAGGGCATAAATATCGACATCGACATCGAGGACATTGCTGATGGCTTGGACACCGAAGAAGAAAGTGATATTCGCGCTGGTTTGGTGCTCGAAACCGCTACCCACGCACTGCATGCAATTTAAGACATCGCTTTCGCTCATGGATGATCAGTACGAGTTACGAAAAGGAATGGTATGCATTGCATCATTACATACTCGATACTTTCGTAAAAGTCCGAGGGGATCCGGATTCCGGTCGTCTACCCGTAGGATGACTCTTATCACTGTCCAACACCATGGGCGGAATGTGTTAGCCATTTTACAACTGTGTTCAATATAGCACCGAGAGCCAAAACTCAGGACCATTCGCCGTTTGCGATGTGGTCTAACAAAACGCCATCTACTCGATAACTTAAGGTATTTGGCTGTGATGCATATGCTCACATTCACGAATTTTACAGAGATAGCTGGATGCACGAGCCCAGTTATGTATTAATCTGGGGATCCTCCAACACAAACGAGGCTATCGCCTCATGGATATGAAAACTCAAAAACATTGTTGTCAGCCGTGATGCTGCTTTCAAAGAATCGGACTTCCCCCCTCTCGACAGCATTGACGTGACGCCCGAACCACTACCATTACCGGAATACTTATTGGAGCGCACCCCACCCGCTGACGTCCATCCGGCACCTGTATCAACTGCGCCTCGTGTGCACCATATTTAAAGTGCAAATTATTTGAATTTGCAGGTGAGAAGCTAGTATGCATGGTACTAATAAATTTTTATTATTACAATAAAAATGGAACTTTCATCTTCGACATAATACCCCACCAGCAGTTTTGAATAGTCTGCTCCGAAACAGCGTTCCAACCCCTCCGAGCACCACTTCATGGCAGTGTACAAATTTACGGGCGTGTAAGGAATACCACTATAAAACATATCCAGCTCTACTTTCTGCTTCCTAGCTTTGTACTTATCCTTCAGGCACTTGATGATACGTTGGTTCATTAGTTGTAGAGCTGCTGTCGTGTTAGGAGGTAGTTTAGATACTTTGACGTTGGTCAGTTCAACGGGTGCTTCATTGTGCGACGTTACATTGTCGACTAATTGTAGAAGGCGGCGGTTCTGCTCGTGCATACTCTCGTCAAGCTGCGTAAGCCATTCACAGAACTTGAAAGTGCTCATCCATGCTTTCGAAGTATTTGTGTACGTTACACCAATTTCAGCGAATACATCACGGTTCTTTAGTGGGCGCAGAACCTTCGACTTCCTGATGAAATGGAGGATGAGCTGCTGAGTATTATCGGCATTCGACGCAGCACAAACAGTTATCTATTGCTTGCATTCTTTTTCCCCTTAGCTTGTTGTTTGTCGTAAGAGTACCCTTGGCTCTTTACGGTAGAAGAACACCGTCTCATCCATATTAAAGATGTCACGTGGGTGATTACAAGCGGCGACTTTTGAAGAGTGTGGCGTTCTTCGCCGACATCTTTAGCTTGTAGCGAGTCTCCATTGTCACGCCGCAGGGAAACCAGAGGCCGGTTCGTTGCTGGAAGCGATACAGCCACCGCGACTCGGTGTCTTGCCCTGAGCAGCTGTATCCCTTCACGCTCGGCAATGTTAAGCACAGTGGCTACCGGTGCCGAAAACGAGGTGCACGATGTAGCTCAACTGATATGGTGCAACAAAGCATAAATAGTGGGATTCGTAATCATATAGGCATACTTTGACCAAGTGTTATTTCCGTTACTGATTGAATCATCATAATATTCTCAATGATTTGTTACAAGAGATGGTTCAAAACGAGTACGTGAAATTGTAATAGGGCGAAAAATGCGACCATTTAGAAACAAATGGTATAGTCTTGTAGAATACTTTACGCAAGAGACTCGCGAAAAGGTTAGGGGATAGTTCCGGTCTGGGAGTCTGGGGTCTGGAAAAATAAACATTCACCTACCCTAAGGTTTTGCGACATGTGTCGTGTCTTGGCCTCACACTGGCTATCAGCATACCCTCCTAAATCTGCTTGTTTCTGCCAGCCACCCATTAACCGAATCGTGTGTCTGTCTGTCAAATAGACGTAATTTGCGCGTGTACAGATTCCTTACTGACGCTCTCAAGATAGAAGGCCATTTCGCGTGGGACAGCACTGCGTATGAGTCTGTTCTCGTGTCACAGTAGCGTCGAGGAGGCGTTCGAGGCGAAGACAGCGTAATATTAGGCACTGGAGACTATTGTTGTTGTTGTTGGAAGAGGAGTTCTTGCTGAAGGCAAATTGAGAAATGATTGATAAGTTAGAGTTAGCGACGGCAAGCTAGTAGCTGCCGCACAACCAATAGTTCTTAGGAACCGGACATACACACACGTATCCAGGTCACATCCTAAAACCTATCTTTCCCAAATCCTGTTTTTATCTGTAACTACCAATGAAACTCTACGAATCCTAATCTTATCTTGGCCGGAAATTTCGCACAGCGTCCCATAATAAAATCTCCGGATGGAAACTTGATTGTTGCAAATTCATGGGATTTTAAACCAATAGAATTGTAGCCTGACGTAAAAGCACAATTTTAAGCTTACGCCAAACCAGAATAATTTAGCCAGCTGTTCTCAATATTTGGCGTGGCTGGTCACTGCCATTCCATCGGCCAGCGACCACCACGTCACATCTCGCCGTACCACAAGGAAACATGAGAGCGCAGAGCTCGTATCAACAGTCTCTTCCTGCTCTAGCTGCTCCTTCTGCGGAGGACATTGACGCAGAGCACGCGATGCAGGCCCGGCAGCTGCAAGTTGCCACACACCGGTTTGCGAAGCGTGGACAAACACCGATTGCCCCTACCGAGCTGTGATCGACGGATGCATCAAGAGAGTTGTTCGCGGCAAGGTATTGATTTCCTACTTCGATGTTTATCTCACTTATTCTAGCAGCACTGCTTTATTTATGATTTCCTTAAATATATCACGACTAAGGAGACGTTTAAAGATGCTCATAACGCTGCTGATATCGGGGCTGCATGGATTAGAGTTGCTGCGCCAGTAAGCAAGAAGATAAAGCGAGTGTATACCGTGAGCAGTGCAAAGACAAGGTAAATAATATCACGCTTGGATGATTATCGTACACATTAATTAGAAGTGGTTTTCTGTTTTTTTTTAGAATAAATGGCTCTGTTAAAGAAGGGCACACTACCGTTAAGATCGCACGACTACTGGAAACGTTTTAAAAGTTGTTGATTCACCTAGTATTATAATGGCCGTCAGTTTAAAAGCGGGCGGTCCGGAGAGGACAATTGACGAGACCGCTACAGGGGTACTTGTCCACCTCCCAGCCGCTCATAGCATCCTCGACATTTTATCCTTAATATTTGTATGCACTGGCTTCTTTTACTTAATAAGTGTCAGTTAATTCATATTTTTACCAATGATACTTCATCTCATGTATTTAGCCAATCACATGGCGTGACACCTAGCTTTGATCTCATGATGGTGCACTGGGCTCCTCATGATGGCTTACAAAACACAACGCTTTGTGACAGTAGCACTCTACACGAGGCTGGGTTCGGAGAAGACGAAGAGCTGATGGAGGCCGATGCAGACGACCATAGGTCTCGCAGCAACAAGCGCAAAAAAACCAACGACGAAAATGTCGAACCAGGTACGCTACTATTATTTATTCCATAAAGTAATTTGTCTGGTAAAGTGATTTTGTGGTTGATTTTGTAAATAGGTCTTTGTGCTTTAGCCGAAGGAGTAAAAATTATTGGAGAAGCAATAAATAGCAAAGGCTCCATTCAGAGGATGTGTCCGTTTCAAGAAAGATTGTTGCGGCTCTTCATCTCAACACACACATTTGCAGAACTGCGGAATCGTAAAGTGTGCGATGGCTGAGGGGGGGGGGATTCTGAGGAGCGGCATGCAGGGGAAGCATAAGCTCAGCCACAATGACGTTGACAGAACCACGCAATTTGAGACCGGCATCTTAACGGAGGCACAACACCGTAAAGTGGTAGCATCGCGCCAACCCCAAGAATACGGAACGATTGTCTTGCAGATCGAGGAAAAAGAAGCGCAGAGGCTTCGTGCACCAAACTGCTGCAGTCGGCGCTTATGTCATCCAGGTTTGTCTACTGTCGAGAAGCTGAGGAAGTTTGCACAGAAGGTTAATATCCAGGAAGCTCTGCCCCCACTCAAAACGCATCGTGCCCACCAAGCGAATGCATCAGTTGTTTTGAACACTATTTCGTGGGGACAAACTTTAGCTACACGCGTGGAAGAATGTGGTGTGGTAGTGACGGCGCTTCACATCACCACGTCGAGTATTTCCAAGAAACGGTCAAGTGAGTCGTTTTCAACGATATAGGAGCTATGGAAAAGTGCGACTGTCAAGAGCATTGCTAGAAAATGCAAGCGACCATCGCGATGAGAAAGTCGAGTCTACCGTCCGCGGATCTTTCACGAAGGAGACCTAGCTTGCGAATCGTTTCCGCATTCATTGTTGCCGTCTGTCCAAGCGGTGCAACAGGAACACTGTTATCAAAGGTGATTTGAAAGACAGGAGAGAAATAATCCGGAAACTCGCTATTTCTGAACGCACACTTGAACCCGTGATGTAGGAGTGGCGCGACGCGACTAATCAATGCCATTGGTTGCTACTAACGTCTTCTGTTGGTCTGCCCAGGAATAAACCAGAAATAGTTTTATACATATTAGCCATGTAACTAAAACTTTCGCGCTAAAGTTTAAGATTGAAGAGAATACTCATGATATTGTCGTGCCACGACAAATTGGGATGAACGGTGCACAGCAAAAACAATTTACGTTAATTTTTCAGCTATTACTATAAAAATGCTGTATTCTCGCTGACCGTAACTCGAATATTACGTGGGGTCCCAAGGCCCATCGGAGTATCACTTTCTGAGATATTTCTCTTCTATGTGTACCGCTCCGCCATTTCTAAAGTATTTTCAGTTGCAAATCTTGATTCACTTTGAAAACTGTTGATTTCGCCTGACCGTAAGCGTGAATGCAAAATTTTATCTGGAATCCAGAGTTTCTCCAGAAATGACACTCGATCTAAAAACAATCGTGCTTTTTTATGTGAATCAGTCGTAAATTGTGCTGTTGAAGAGCACGGATGTTATTGATCTCTGTAATTTGGTTAATCTATTATCACATATTTCATTTCTTGTATCTCCCAAAGCGGTACTACCTCCGTCCCACAAGACATTTAACATTTCTCTAGATGCTCGTTCTAAACTTTGTGAAGTTAGCCAGGTGTGCGTGCTTAGTGTTGGTAGCTGTAGCGCTGTATTAACGCGTCGTAAACGGTAGATAACTTCGCCGGAATAAGACGATAATTGAGGCATCTGACCAAAACTTACGCTATGCAATCAAGGCTACGTCCACCAGGTTTGTACCATCGACAGATTACGCACTGGTGCATCGTTTTGGACTCATCTCACTAAGTAATATATCCTCCAATCGAACCATTATTGATTTAAAAACCGCTCCAATTTTGAACTTAATTGGACATTAACATATCGATAGGATATTTTTGACCAATCCCCAAGTAGTATTGAATTATACCAAGTTTTAAGACTACTAATCCGTCGATTTACCACATCTACACAACAACATCGTCCAACGCTGCCTTGCCGATTTTTACTGCCTCGCTTGAGCATGGCAGCGAGAGTAGGAGATCTCCTAGCCGAGCCCACTTGTCTTTGCCCAGATGTGGAATCTTGTAGGTATTTCCGCCGCGGTCCAGCATCGCTTGTTCCAACACAGATTGTAGCGTTATGAATGACTTACTTAGCGTCACAGACTTGAGTTCAACAAAACCTGACTCCACCGCATCAACTAACTGCTCCACGTTGTACACTCGCTTCCGATATTGATGCGCTTGGATGCTGGAAAAGAAGCCAAGGTCGAGTACATTGAAGTCGGGGCGACGTGGCGGCTAGTTGCGAAAGGTAATGTTCCAGTCGTCAGAGCAGGCAACCGCTTTCACTGCATCTGAGTATGCACTACCGTGTGGCGTCGCATTATCTTGCTACATCGAGACCGTTTTTGATCCTGATAAATTTATAATAAATAAATCAACGCGAGTCACACAAAAAATAAACAAAAGCATTATTGAAAAAACGTACCGGGCCACTTGGCCTTGTTTGCAGGAATAACCTTGTCGATAAGGTACTTCTTGTACCGTACCTTGGCGATCGAAGTGCATTTGAGCTCAGGAGTACCAGCTGGACGGTTCTTCCATGAGCGTTTAGCCTCCACCATCTCCACGAACGGACAGCAACCCAGCTTTCCACCAAACTACGCTGTGTGGATCATACCGAGGTCGACCAACAGCTTACAAAAATAGTACTTTGGTGAGATACTTGACGTTAGGAACAGCAAAGTGCAGAACTTTCTCGTTGTATGTCAGGTAGTACGACTTTCTCTTTTTAGAAATGTAAAAACCACTTTTCGTCAATATGAATTGTGTCATTCATATAGTTGAACCTGTACGTTCCAGCTGCACAAATAATGCAAAAATATAAAATAATGTCAGAATTATTACAATAAAACTTCATTAGAGCAGTGAACTTACCAGCACCTTCCCCCACAAATGAAAGTGCAAACTCGATGCGCTGGCGCATTTGATCAGACGTCAGGTATGACTTCACAGACCCCGTAGCTCGACGAATGCCGTCCTTGTTCCCCTTCGCACGCGCGAGGGTGGTTCTAGGAATCCCAGTGGCAGCTGCCAAAGCTATGTAGGATGTCCTCTCGATGGCAGGTACGGTCTCCAGCGCCTCCTGAATGGCGTCAGGAGTCCACACTCGGGCTATGCCTCTGGCGCTTTCGCACGGCTTCTCGTCCCGGGCGTGGAACACGGAGCTTACTGTCTGCCGTGTGCAGCCGAAGTGCGCAGCAGCGTCGTTAATACAGCCACGCGGGAGCTTCCAGTCCGTCATCCGCTCCAACAAAAGGCGAATGATGTCTTCGTGGTCTAGAGGTGGAGGGTCAGGGCCGAGGTCCATGCTTGCGCTTGGATGGTGCTATTGGTGGGGAATTTACGAACTGCGGACCGTGAGTTAGTTTCCCCATAACAAATAATTGTAACCAATCGCATTATTGTAACATGATGGTGTTTACCACACTAAGTTCAAATGTTAAATGTCTTGTGGGACGGAGGTAGTACCCCGAAGGGAAGACGGAAGGGACCTCAAAGCTTCTTCATGGGGAGCAGGAGGGAGAACCAAAAATGGTCTCCCCCAAACCAGCGCCTACTAGGCAACACACAGGTTGCAGCTCCTGCATTACCCATACACCCTGCCAAATCGGATTAAGACTTTAATGGTTCTCATCTGCAATTTCTCTCTTGATACAGTACGAACGAACAATTATTGTTCTCGAGCAATCCATCCTCCTAAAAAGTCTCCGTCTAGGACATGCATTCGGCAAAGAGCTGTGGCAAGCAGTAGATGCATTTATAGCGGAGTTGCGGCACCACCAGGTTGGAAGGTACTTTGCTTTTTTATATAAACACCAGGTCAGTTTGAAGGTCTATGAAGTGGCTTCAAAACTGAATTGTTTAATGAGCGCACTTTCATGTGTAAAATGCGGTGTAATTTCGTTGAGTTGGCTGGATATCAAGTGATATTTCAACATATATATATAATCCAGCCCAGGAAACAACAAACGAGTTCCACGGATGACAAACATAAGAAATATACTTCGATGTCAGTTCAAAGCGTGCAACTTAAATATCGGTGCTGAGTTCAGTTTCTCTGAGTAATGTATGGATACTTTCCTAAAAATAGAATCGCCTTCCTTTGGTCTGAAAAAAAAAACCTATTTCGTTTTGAAGCAAACCTTCACAGAGTTGCTTTCTATATATATATAGATAGATTTTGTTCGATAATATATTCTTATTATTAGCACACAACAAAGTGGTATATCTTCGTTTATTCCAGCATTTGTGCGCTTTTAGAATCCAAAGCTTCTCCCTGTGAAACACGGTAGTAGACCTTTAGTAATGCCTTTTCGTCCTTTGTTGCGTCGGTTTAACCGGCTATTACAGCACGAAAGGGAGTTTAATTAATAGGCGTCGTGTACCGCATGTCACAAAAAGAATGCATAATATTTTGAAATGAATAGCTGCCATGTGTGTTTGCAACTGTGTCAACATCGAGTAGCAGGCATGCATTTGCTCTAATACCGCCACTAGGGAGCCCGATAAATTGTTTCTGACAATTTGTTTACTGTTTCCTAAAAAAACATATTTGTGGATTCTACTTCAACAAAATAAGCATTTACGCGTTTGGTGTACCTCCACACAAACTTATTTTACAGACAGTGACAACCAACAGCTTGTGGTTGGTTCTGAGCCCCCACGACTTTTCCGCAACGCATATTCTAGTTCATGCTGCAATTCTCAATCAACACAGCCAATTCTGCTCTCTCCTTTCAATCAGATACCTCTCTCTTTTCCTACAAAGAGGAAGTTCACGCCAGAGCAAGTCGCTTCATTCGTCAAGCCCTAACTGACTGAGTAAGGTGACCCAACGGGGTCTGCAAGGCGTGTGGAAAGATAAGAAAACATGTGCCAAAAGTTGTATACTCTAACCTGGTGTCCCATATGCGATCTTACCACTCCTGCTTTCAGGAGGAGATGGAGACTGTCAACACCGCAGCAACCGGGGATCTTATTCCGGGTAAGCCACATGGCGCCAAATCGATACGCGTAGATCGACCGGATCGTCAAGGGTAGCCTTTCATCGCGTTCATCGAGATGGAGACAACCAGGAGGTAACTAGCAGCTAACTAAGATCTGTTATCCAGTTTATTTTTCAAACTATTATGTTTTGTTGAAAACACAAACGTGGCGCCGGTGTGCGAGGAGAGCATCACTCACGACATGGAGCCTGTCACCAAAGCAGCGGAGACGAGCATCGGAGAAGAGCTATCGGGAGACTTTTGTGTCGTTCTCGACGACCGCACTGTCGGCGGTGATCAACATAGTGGTTTACGGCTACAACAAGCGAAATAGTGTGCGCTGCTGCCACCATCACCTCACGGCGCCGGTGACTAATGACTTAGACGATCGTTTCAACCCTGAGACACACATTCCAGCACTGGCCTCGTTTCTACCATTTTTCAGTAAAAACCAGTATCGACTACTCTTGACCGTCCGTAGCCGCCTGTCGCCCAACGAGGAGGACCTCAACGAAGTGCAACTGCTTATAAAGCACTTGCGCACGATCAAGCAAGCTACAAAGCTAAATTGTTTATTTACGGAATTGTTTACTTATAACAGTTATTATTTTAGGTTTGGTACACGTAGTCTGAAGGCCCTTTAACCCGAATTGCGCCACGAAACGCGATTGTAGGTCACGAACTTGATGTTGGCGCACTATTTTGCATTGTGTGAGTTTTCAGCGTCGATGACGAAGACCTAGCTCACGCCTAGCCCTTCCCGGTAGTACACCGTAAGCTGAAGGCGGCTATGAAAGGTGGAGTCCGTATCGAAGAAGGTTCAGTGCGATGAACTCAACGTGCAGGATATCTGTGACCTGCTCGATGGTCTACTTGATATCCAGCCGTCATTTGCTAATTACCTGGTCAAGTCAGTTGCTTAGTTTCTATTTTTTCTGGTCTAAACGCTTATATTGTTCACTCCCCTAGCTTCGAGTCAGAAGTGGTGACAGTACTATCAAGCACCTGTCCCGTGGTGGGCGCTCGGCGTGCCAGCCTCTTAAGATGGCACCCAAGTCTTCTGCCCCGGCACCGGAGCCGACCAAGATGGGTATTGCTGACAGTATATTTTGAAGCGGTACCAGACGGTAAATCGCACGTAACCAAGGTCTGACACACAGAAAATGTGATAACACATAAAATGTGCGTGGGACACATCAATGTCACATCACACCACACAATCTATACGTGTGCCACAATTGCATTGACCAAAACACACCAAACTCGGGTGTCTACACACCACTCAATATTAGCGAATCACGACCACTGCTATGGCAGTCAGCGAGCCAATCACCGTCCTTTATATCCTTTCTTAACAGCAAGGATCCTTCTTCATACAGTAGAACACTGAACGCTGAAGCCCTCCTTTCTTTTCCTCAACGAAAGATGCTCACGACGACCAAGTGGACGACTGTCAGTAGCGACATGGCTTCCGAGGATTGATAGCTGCTCATGGAAGACATGAAGGTGTTCATCATTGTCAAGCTCCAGCTGGTTCCATTCGTGGTGTGTGCCCTGACCAAGCCGCAGAAGATGCGGTACCAGCTACTGAAGTGCTCCTCGGAAACATGCAAGGCAGCCACGCCATATGACGCGTGTCCATGGAAGGGGAAGGTGCTCACGTGTCAAAGTCCTATCCGCGTCACGATCATGGAGACAGGTGCTCAAGAGACCTTGGTGAGGGAGCCTCAAAAAGCCAAGATGACCTCCCGACTCAAGGACTACGGTCGTGAAATGGCAACGCAAGGGTTGAAGCCCGCTTGGATTCGCAATGAAATGGCTCGGCGGTTTGGATTGACGTGTAACGGGCCAGGTATTTACCGTTACTAGCTTACACGTAGCGATGAGGAAGCTCGTACTTAATACGACAAGATTCAATTTCCGGTAAAATAAACTCTGATTTAAATTTGGTCCAGGGCGGAACCCCTGGCCCCTTGAGAACCACTCAAATGCAAGTCGGCTCCTGATTGGCTGAATACCTGACCTTTCAACCAATCAGAGAGCGACAATGCAGCACGCGCTACTCGCGTGCTTTGTACCTACTTTTGTATATCAATCTACCTACTTATGTAAATGGTGACCCATTACATGACGGAGATGTCAACGCTGCGTCAGGTGCAATGGGTTGTCAGCAGCTATTCGAAGAAGAATCTGCACCGCAATGACGACTATGACGAAATCTTGGGCCAGATCGATTGGCTTATATTCCGACTGTCTCAGACACGAACCCATTTTCGCTTGGATGGAAACGTGACGCACGCGGCAAACCAAATGTGGGGAGCGGCTCTGACGAAAATCCATTTTTGATGTGGCCGACAACGAACCGTCTTCTACTGAATGCGTCGCGTGACGCGGGGTCATTTGTTTTCCACATGGACGCGACCTTCAAGTTGAACCAAATGTCGGGTATCCTGTCATCGTGTGCAGAATCTCGGACAAGTGTCGCTCGTTTCACCTTGTGGCACTTTTCATTACATCGCAACGCTTGGAGGACATTTACGTGACGGCGCTGACCGAGCTGCGCAGGATTTTTGTTTCGGTGTCTGGGGGGGGGGGGGGTCAATTGTTGGTCAAGTTCGTCATGGCCGATGCTGGAGCTGCCCAACAGAACGCAGTGACACGAGTGTTTGGTGTCGATTCTGAATTTGTCTACTTGATGTGCTTCTATCATGTGATGACCAAGGTTCACGAAAACCTCAAGGGTATACCTGGTCGCTTGTCCGAACAGGTGATGGCGGACATCTATGGCCTCCATTTCGCGGCTAGCCAAGATGTCTATGACGAACAATTGAAACAGATTTTAACGAAGTGGTCGGGTGAAGAGCAGCTGGTTTGGTTCCAAGGCTATTTGAGCGTACGTGGGTGACGAGCGCATTTGGCGTTGGCAATGATTCCATACGCCCAGTGGATATGCCACCACAAACAACCCGGTGTAGCAGTTCAACCGTCTGATCAAGCGTGACTACACTCTTCGGACCAAACATAAGATCGGGACACTGTTCTAGTTGCTGGCGGATTGTTGTGGCACCAGTCGGTGACTCCAATAATCTTCAAGGAATTCCCTGAAGCCACCCAGCAGTTAAACGCAAGGATTAAGAATTTTTGCCGCCGAGATCTTCTTGTGGACATGACTCCCAGCCGGTCCAGCATCGAATTCCTACTCGTTTCCCCCAACCCAGACGTGGTTCGGGTATCGTCACATGGCTGCGAGCGTGTCTACCTCCCGGAACCCGGGCGCAGTCGCGAGGTGGCCCCGGTGTCGGCCCAGATGGGGGTGAATTACGCACGAATGGAGGTGGTTGGGCAGCCCGAGGGATGCTGGCATGTAAATTTGAGTACGAATTCGTGCGGGTGCAATTACTACTTCAAGTTTGAAATCTGCGTTCACGTGCTTTTTGCTCTTCAGATTAAGGACTACACAGGCCTGGACGGTAAAAGGACTCTAGTTAATCGTTCTGTGTCTAAGTAACGACGTCGATCGGGTACTTTTAGTGCCTGAGATCCTGCCGGTCGCCCACTGGCAAACCGGCATGCATTGAATACGGGGTGAAATCCGTTTGCAGCAAGTACAGTCGTTTCTTGCTAAACGAAGAAACTTGAGGCCGTGTCTATTTTTTTTAAGTTATATAATATTCACGTTCAACTTCAATTTTAACTGTGCTCAATTTGCTATCCTTCTTCAACCTAGCTCGACGTTACCAAGTCAGCCCGACATGCTCCCCACGGACGCTGCCCAGCCGACTTCTTTCCCAGCCTTCTTCAGGTGGTGCTCCGCGTCCGTGGGTGGGGCGCCTCGATGAGGCTGCGGCCCGTTACATGAGGACATGGGACATGTTCAACGAAGTAACTCGTCAAATACCGCAGAGGCTATCAAGCGGCTGTTAGATGTCGTACCAAAAGCTCGCATCACCAGGGCCCGCCTCATCGAGGCAGCCGCTTTAGGAGACGGCGCTGGTGAGGCGGAATAGGTCCTACCAAGTGGAACCGACTTAAGGAGTCTACCTACCTACCTACTAAATGCAGACCACCCTGGCAGATCGCCAAATTAACGGTCGGTGCAGTTCCTTACCTCCTGGGACCCAACATGGGAGCCGGCTACTAATCTTCCCTCAAACGAAATACGAATGTACCGAAGACCCCAGCGCCGCCGTGTAGAGCGCGCCTACATTGAAGCCAAAGCAGCAGAAGAATAAACAAGTGGCAACAGCCTCATCATGCATATGTTTTCTCTACATGACAAATACTTCTTATCCTTCATGTTCAGCATACCAGCTTCACGTCAGCAACACGCCGGACCATCCACAAGAGCAGTGCAGGGTCTAGACCCTTCAACATACCCCCCACAAGCCCGGAGTGTTGCCTCCACAAGCTTGAACGCCGCGCTCGAGCCAAGTGCATGTCGTAGTAGTCGTCGATGATGGCGCGTGGGCGCCGCCGTACCGGCGATCAAACCCGCGGCAGGCTGCGCCGGTTGAGCTTTACAGGAGAAATTACCGAATGAGTTGACTGCTCATGCGAGGAGCAGTTAGATCTACCAGGGACGCGGCTACGAAATGGATGGTCCGCCGCCGTGTCCCACTATCTGAGCAGAATTCTGTGCGGCAGACTCTGCCGCACAATCTGTCACAGATGGCAGAGCAGCCAGCACAGGCACAATCGGTGTGGCACGCAGACTGTACGGGGGTTGGCTGCATGTCGCATTGTAATATTACTTTTTGACCAAGACGGAGAGAACACCATGTGAGTACGAGCAGCTGGATGATATCCCGCAGACGTCTAACATTGTTGAACGGCTGTTCAGTTCGGGTCACATGGTGCTATGCTACGTGCGCAACATGATTTTCTCATTCACGCAGGAGATGATCCTTTTCTTGAGGGTCAACGATACGTTCTGGGTTGTGACCACAGTGGGTGCTTGCGCTTAGGCAACAGCAATCGGGCAAAGTAGATATTTGATCAGTAATATATTTTTGCAATGGTTCCGCTATAGTTATTTATTTGCTCAGTTCACAAATTCCTGCGCGTAATGTATTTGCTGGTTTTCTATAATATTGATATGAACTATATTGTTGGGATCCCTGCCTGCATCATAACCAACTTTGTAAAAAAAATATGGGCTCGCAGAGAAACCGAAGCCCGATCCCTACTACTGAGACAGACAGTTCAATAACAGCAAGAAGTCGTCACTCAGGACGGTATGAAGACTCGCAACGTATTTTGTTTCTTTTTTTCTTGAACGACATGTGTATCGGCTCCATCTCAAATCCGGGCGTCAGCTGCGTGACCCACCAGCACATGACGTGTTGCTGGTAGAAGAGCTCAGCCAATTCGCATAAGTACTGGACGAATTTGTTCACCTTGTCCCGTTTCGGCCAGGAGTATCCGCACGCGTACTCCGCCATCTCGATCTGCTCCACGAACAGCAAATCCCACTGCTCGAAGCCGCTCCCGAGATCCTTGCACACACTTCACTGCCGTCAAAGTTGCGCATGCACATCTTGGCGGCCATCGCCTTGGGGGGGGGGGTCGTTTATCTGTAGCGGCGGCTGTCGATGCGCTCTCTACTGCGCGACCGGCTGCTCTTTGGGGGTATTGAATGGTGTACCTTCTTCCTGATGCCCAGCGCCAAGCCCACCGTATATCCCAGACATCTGCGCGCCCATGCTGATGTTCGACGCTACCATTCATTATTTTTAAAGTCATAAGTACCGTGTCTCTTCACATTTAGCTTCCAGGGAGTACGGTACTGAGGCCAGCTTTGTGGCAAACTCTAACATCCACAGTCTCCCTGGCTCGGCATCAGGAAACATCATTGGTGCAGAAGGTAAGCGGCTTCCGATTGAATCAATGAAAGCCCTTTAAAGTGTTCAGTCAAGTCACAAAATGGCTGCACGAAATCGTTTCTTCTTCTTCTCCCTTTTCCCCTCGTTTTCTAAAGCTTCTAGAGGCCCTACGAGCGATCTGACATCGAATTCGGAGTCTCCTCGTCAGACCGGTTTTACGAGCCAGGCAGTAGTTCCGATGAGTGCGGACGACTTGTGCACCAGCAGGCATTTTCGAATATGAGCCCCCGCAAATCTGATAGAATTAATTTTTCTAGGTACAATCTCTTGGAGTTCTGCATCAACTTCGAATAAGAGCTGCTCAGAGGATCTGAACGGCATATACTGCTCTTATCAGACAGATGCGTGCACAGTAGTCAACTTTGCGCTTAAGTGCCTTGCGCGAAGCGTACACGACATCTTCTGCGATCCGCCGATAGCTACAGATGACTAGAGCAACAGTCATCACTAGCAGCTTACCTTTTTTGGCTTGGGATCGTCTAGATACTGCTAATTGACAAGTTCTCATTTTCACAACATCATTGTCAACGGCAACGTTCCCACTTCCCATACTCCAACTGAGCCAAGCTATCAGAGTTCGGAGCTATAATTGAGGCGTCTACGCACCTACGCGTCTGGCGAGTTAGCCTGGGGCTCTGTTATCAAACGCAAGCCCCAGAGATCATGCCAATGACCGATGTGGTCGCACCGATAACGCTCAGCGGAACCATACAGCTCAGCACGGACAGCAGCTTGTCTACAAAGAATATCTTCGTCTCTACGGTCAGTGAAGTTGATCTACAGCCTGTAGCGTCAGCTCTACTACAACTTTCGGCGGTTTCTGTTACCAACTATTGAAATTGCGCTGTCATTGTACACGAGCCTGAAGAGCTCTTGCACCGGAACTTCGACCTCGGTACTCTTTGCCAACAGAGGCACAACAACCATCGATCGTGCAGGTTCGGGGGACAATGGTCAACAGTAACCGAAGCAACTCCATAAAATGACTAGTTCATATATTTCATTGTAGTAGAAAGCCTTTGATAACTAGCCGTGCTTTAAACGTTCAGTTCACTAGATCCAGTATATTTAACAGCACTTACCCACCGATTTTGGAGCACCCTTGTGTTTTTAGGTGGTACCCACGTCTCATTCGTCATTAGTGATTTGTATTCAGATTCAGCAGCTGTATGTCATTGCTGAGAGTACGAATAGTTCATTGCTGCTGCGTAGGAGTGGAGTTCAGGCACATGGCGAATTGCTAGAAGGCTAAGAATCAATGAGACACGGATTTCCGTTTCCTGGATGTCGTCAGGCGAATCAAGGTCTCCGAGATGAATCTCTTCTTTGTATCGAGGCCGTTAGGATGAGATAGTAGAAGATTGTGAAGACGTCTCTGTTCCAAAGGAGTAGGTATAAACACCACGTTCGAGTGCCTCCCTAAGATAGTGAAGTTGTTCCTGAGTAGTAGCAGGTGCAGGTGGGGGTAGTACGGTGGAATATTCCCTAACATCAGTTCAACAAAAACAATCCTATGAAATATCCGCTATAGCTGCCGATCAATCAATCTGATGTATATCATATCAAGCTCTTGCTCAAAACGCGGTTCAATTTGTGCACGACTGTATTGTAAAAGGGCGAAAAAATCACCCTTTTAGTTACCGTTTTATGCACAGACCCCTTACAGGGCGATAAAAGCGCCCTTGTAGCGAGAAAGCGTTAAAAATAATGAGAGTTGCAAATCATGGTTGACCTCCGAAAAGTGTCGTTTTTGTGCCTGAATGTAAGATAAAACTTATGCTAAATCTTTTTTAAAACTGTTAAAACTGATTTTTTTTTACCATCTTTCAGGCTAAACGATCTGATTGGCGGGGATGGCATTCAGACGAAAAAAACCCATCAAATTTTTAATGGCTTTTTTTCGTCTGAATGCCATCCAACGGCATTTTTCGAAATATAAAATGTAATTTACAGATCGGGCACGATCCTGCGAACTCATTTTTCACCATCACTGTTCACGCGGGTCTTTCTCGACGATGGCGCTGCAACAGAGCCCACGTGCGTGGGTTCCCGTGCCATGCGAGAACCCATCGGCAGCGCCATGTCACCGCTCGTTGCACGTGTGCGCTGTGCGCAAGGACTCGCTCTACATCTTCGGAGGTACATGCCGAGAAATCAGTCGGCTGAATCAGCCCGATAGTCTAACCAGCATAATATACGCATACTACAGCGTCTAGTAGAAGCGTATGAGCGTAATATAGATGCTAATGTCTTGTCAATTATCTGCTGCTACGTCATTGTAGGCTATGATGGCTCCAACCGCATCAACGACTTTTACGAGTTCAACTTCAAGCGTAAATTGTGGTCGGTAGTTCTGGCCATTGGCTCTGCGCCGAGCCCGCGCGACCGCCATGTTGCTGTGGTCTACAAAGATTCATTTTATGTGTTCGCGGGCTTCGACGGCAGCTCCCGCGTCAATGACTTTATAGAGTACAACTTCTGTACGTTAGAAGAGCGGGTTATGCTGATCTATTAGCCAATATTGACTCTGGTTTTATGATGACGTCCATGCAGTGACACAGAGGTGGAGCAACGTCGTGGTTAGTGCTGGGTTGCCGCCTACTGCTCGACACAGCCATGCTGCTGTGGTGTATGGTACGTTTGGAAGTGTGATTCTTGCATGTGGGAATAAACTGACATATAACCGGTGTTTATTTCTTGTGGCTGGACAGACAAATCGATGTATTGTTTCGGAGGATACGACGGTAGCTACAGGAACGACTTTCATGAGTTCAATTTTGGTATAACTCACCATTTGCACCTGAAACTTTGCTTTGTTGTACGAAATCCTCACTGTTTATTCTCTCATTCTCTGTACACAGAAACAAATACCTGGTCGCTAGTGGCAGCCACAGGACGCGTTCCTCGACCTCGGTGAGTATCGGCAAACTCATGTGCTGGCCAATGGCCTTCTAACGACAAAGTTCATTTTGCTCCGCCAGGTATCGATCCTCGTTGGTGGTGCATAATCACACGTGCGTTCTGTTTGGTGGCCACGATGGGTCTCGCCACCTCAACGATGTCCACGTATATGACTTCGGTATGCTCCTGTTGCTCGCATTGGATATTTCGTTATCTGTTGACTCTTGTGTGGTTGTGTAATCATTTTATCTGCATTAGATACTCGAGTCTGGTCGTTGCTGGCAACGGAGGGCCCAGCACCAATTGCTCGTGATAGTCATGTTGCTGTCATCCACTCGAATTCCATGTACATATTCGGTGGCAGCACGGGCACTGCAGTGAACGATTTCTACGAGCTTGATTTGGGTAAGTAGGCTGAGACTTGGCGTTATTTTTCCGGATCTAACTCTTTTTTTCTCCCTTTAGAGGTGAATACGTGGCAACCGATGCAGTTTAATGGTCAACCACCAGGACAGCGCTTTTGCCACGTCGGCGCCGTTTACGACTCCAGCCTGATCATCTTCGGCGGCTACGATGGAAGTAGTCGGCTTAATGACTTTAAGCAGTTCCGTTTTGGAGAGGAAGAGTTTCAACTGGAGATTCCGGAGAGCACACTGATTGATGATCTGAGGATGTTGGTGAACAACGACATTATGAGCGATGTGACTTTTATTGGTTCGTGCCAGTGACCGAGATACAGTCCGCCTTGCTTGTCTAACAACTGTGTGCTGTGTTCTTGGAACTAAACAGTTGAGGGAATTCCTGTGTATGGACACAAGATTTTGTGTATCCGCTGCAACTACTTCAACGCGATGCTGACAGGAGAGGTAATTTTGCACAAGCAGTGAGCAGGAAAATGTCTTACAGTCCTAACTTTCGACTGTTATAAAACGTTTAAAGATGCTGGAGAGTCGAGCACGAGAGATCCAGATCACCGACGTGCGTCGCCCAATTTTCATTTCGTTGATGGAGTATCTCTACACAGACTACTTGGACGTCGCCGTTGATGTGGCGATGGAGCTGTTTGTCACTGCTGACCGGGTACGCAGGCTCGTTAAAAGGGCTACTTTTCTTTTGACGTATGCTAACATTTATTTTACAACGTGGACAGTACGGAGTTGAACGCTTGAAGCGCATCTGCGAAAGTAAAATGCTCGGATCGTTATGTGTCGAGAATGCTGCTAGTATTTTCCACGCTGCAGACCTGCACAACGCAACTGTGCTACGAGACCAGTGCGTCGCCTTCATGCTGCACAACTTCGACGCCGTGACGAAAACCGATGCCTTCGAAGAAATGGGCCGAACCAATGTTGAATTGGTCTTCGAACTACTGAAGCGCCGTTAGAACTTTACAAAAGTGCACCGAGCAGGCTTTCTTGTCCAACTTTATAGAATAAAAACTTTAAAACACCGTAGTTCTCTTGGCCGCAATTATTCGTCAAAGGAACGAATACGGTTATGTATTGAAGCTCTAAATGCTCTAAAATGCCTCACCGACTAAGAGTGGTAACTCGAATCGTACGGTAATGGCCGTCGGTGACGTTGGCCTTGGTATTATCGGAGCTACCGTCATGCGAATCTTCTTTCTTCACTATTTCAATACCCATGCCAAGCTCAGCCAACGTTCGGTGCACTAGCGGCTCCTGCTCTTTCCAGATAAGCAATTCCTCTGATGTCGAGGCCTCGGGGCCTGCCGACTTAAGTGCTTCTGCCATGGATCGCAGTCGCTCCACAAGCGGTCGCTCCCACACATCTAGCGCGTGGACCAGGAAGCGATCGACGTGCACACGCGGGAAGGGGATAGCACCAGGAGCACGCTCCGTCGTGGGGTCAATACCGTGGAAATCCGAACCACCCATCTAACATAGAAACACAGATTAGTAAAGTGACTGCGCCATAGCATTTTCATGTGTACATACTCTTAGCAAGCCGGATTCCTTCGCCAAAGCACCATACATGTCAATTTTATTCGAGTCATGATACACTTCGATGCCCTACACAAACGAAGGTCAAATTTTACATCAAAATGACACGTTCGGTTAAGGAAATAGTTGCAACGGTAGCTTACCTGAATACCCATCTTAGCCAGCTCGGGAACTAGTGCTATCGGGTCCTGTAAAAATTAAAGCATGTTAACTTCTATCCATACAACAACTCAATGTAAATCGTCACAGCTATACCTTACAGCACCACGGATGTGCAAGAACAGAGACTCCACCGGCGCTCGCAATAAGCTTAATGGCTTCTTCAGGTGGAAAATGCTCGCCCTGGTATACCGTCATTGTTAACTTCATACAGACCAGTTAATAGCGCGATACGACGTACCTCAACGTAAGCAGGACCATCGTTATGGAGGTATCGCGCAAATGCCTGGCGGAAATTCGCAACGTGACCTGATTCCACAAGCGCTTCGGCAACGTGAGGCCGACCAGGTGCAGCTTCTCCAGCAATCTCCAGCACGCGTTCCCACTTGAGTTTGATGCCCATCGCTTCCTACACAACGAAACCATCAGTCCAATCAAAGACAACTATGACTTCACAACGCGTACCAGTTTCTTGAGCATCCCCTTGCCGCGCTTGTGTCTGCCCGTACGGATCTTCAGTAGCTGCTGTTCTAGCTCAGCACTGTTCGACCCTGGGTAGAAGTATCCCAGAATGTGTAAATTCTCGCCACCTTTCACTTCAGCGCTGATCTCAACGCCGGGAAACACCAGTACTCCATGCTTCTGGGCAGCGGCAATAGCTTCACTCACTCCAGCCATCGTGTCATGATCCGTGAGGGACATGAAGGTGACTCCATTGGCCGCTGCCTTGGCAATCACCTCACTGGGTTTAAATTTGCCGTCGCTACATACACTACTCCACAAGATAAACCAACATTCCGTTGTGTCAATAGTCAACGTCAACCACGTCAGTACATTTAACAGACGCTTTATTCAATGCAAGTCATATTTCATGTCGCACCTGTGCAGATGGAAGTCTCCGCATGCTGCGTCACCTGCTTCAGAGGAGTCACGGGCCTCAACATGAGCCGAGGAGTGGTGGTCATCATTGGACGGGAACATGGCGTCGCTCAGCGCCTCGTAGGCTGCATTGTGAGCCACGTTGCGAGCCGTTGCCAGCGAACACTTACGGTTGAAGTTGGCTTGCAAGTTCACGGGCTTGCGCTTGCTGCTCTTCTTGACCTTCTTCTTCTTGCGGTGCCCACTCGACGACGCCGACACCATCTCGCCTGTCAACAACCAATATGTCGCATCAAATCCCACAGGTTTTCCTTCGCATAAACTCAGAGAGGCTTGTCAAACAGGAATGTTGGTCATTTAAAAATACATTCGGCGTATACTGTATACACATCAGTGGTATTGGGTAACAGCTTGCGAGCCACAGCATTGATCCATTTCCAGATCAGCAGGTACGGACCACCATGTTGCGCTCGAGTCTGCGCAATGCGGTGCGATCGCAAGGTTTACTGCGTTACACGGGGGCTGTGCCTCCTCATGCCCAAGCTCCGACTCGTATTGCGCCGTTCGCAACGTTCGGTAGCGAGTTCTCGGGCTTCCGTGACGTCCGCCAGTCGCCAGCTCTGATCCTGCCACAATACTCGCCGCTGTTTCACGCGCAGACCCGCGGGTTCGCCGCGCTTCCCACAAAGCCATCGACGACCACGCCGGCGTCTGCTCCCACGGCCGCAGAGGCTGCTGCGCTTAAGAAGAAGATCGCGGCCGCTAGACGCCGTCGCAGTAAGATCCGCGTACAGGAGGAGAAGCTCGAGTCCGCACTGGCCAAAGGCGGCGAGCGCCGTATGATCCGCGTCGAGGATGTTGAAAAGGAGCTGCCAAAGGTTCCGGAACGCGCCGTATCTCTGCTTAAGCGCACGCCGCAGCTTACGATGCAGGGCATTAAAGCCGTCGCCCATGCACTGCAGGTTCTGTTCACTGACCCAGCTGCAGTTAAAGAATGGCTGGGTAAGATGAAAGGCAAGGTAAAACACGAGTTAGATCACTACTGGCTCGGCACCAAGCTGCTATACGCCGATGTGTCCACGTCCACACGTATCCTGCGTCGTCTACTCAAGGGCAACGCACTCTCACGTCGTGAGCGCAAGCAGCTGCAACGCACAGTGGCAGATCTATTGCGTCTCGTACCATTCGCGTTCTTCGTGATCGTCCCGTTCATGGAATTGCTGCTGCCTGTGGCGCTCAAGGTGTTCCCCAACATGCTACCGAGTACATACAAGGACTCGTTTCAGCGTGAGGAAGACATGAAGCGTCAGCTGCAGTTGCGTGTGGCTCTAGCCGAATTCCTGCAGGACACAGTGAAGGAAGTTATGCAGGATACTCGTGATACTGAAGGCGTGTCGGAGGAACGCAAGGCAACAGCCAGCGAGGTCATGAACTTCGTGGAGCGAGCCCAACGCGGCGAACCTTTGACGTCGGAGGAGACGCTGCAAGTCGCGAAGCTGTTCAGCGATGAACTGATGCTGGACAATATCTCTCGACCGCAACTTGTGGGTATGTGTCGATTCATGGGCGTGCAGCACTACGGCAACGACAATCTGCTTCGTTTCCAGCTGCGTAACCGGATCCGTCAGCTCAAAAAGGACGACCAGGATATTATTTGGGAAGGACTGGACTCGCTGGACAAGGAGGAGCTGCAGATGGCCTGTATGGAGCGCGGTATGCGTGCTACGGGGTTGACGAAGGCCGGCTACGTGCGTCAAATGCGCCAGTGGCTCGATTTGTCCATTAACAAGAACGTGCCAGCGTCACTGCTCATCATGTCGCGGGCGCTGAACATTACTGCTGCGGACAACCTAGAGGAGGCGCTTGCTACGTCCATGTCGTCTATGGACGAAGAGGTGGTGACGGAGGTGGCGCTGGCGGCCAAGGCGTCTACGGAGGGAGAAACGGCGGAAATGCGCAAGCTCAAGCTCGACAGTATTCGCTACCAGAATGAGATGATCGCGGACGAAGAGAAGTTCCGTGATGAAGCTCAGAAGAAGGAGACTGAGGCTCAGAAACAGGCTGAGAGCGAGGCTGCTGCCACCCAGGCAGCTACTGAGACGCAAACTGAAGTGGAACAGGTCATTGCCGACGTGATCATGGAGAAGGCGCACGCTCAGACGACTACAGCCGCCCCGACGCCGGGTGCAGCTAGCGAGACGACGCCTAGCGAGGAAACGCCTGTGGTGCCCAAGTCCATTGAGAACATCGTCAGCTTGGAGGAGCTCAGTGCTCTTGAGTCGCTTGCGTTCAAGTCGCTCGTCGAGAAGGAGCGTCAGACTGTGAGTCAGTTGAAGCAGAACAAGTATGACATGGACGTCGAGGGTCTGCTGGCTGCTGGTCGTATCGGCGCACAGGCCGCGGAGAACAAGACTGCCGGTCGTATGATGAAGAAGCTCGAGGCGATGCTGTCCAATCTGGAAGTGGAAATTGAGGAGGTTGACCGTCATGTTGGTGACCGACTGAACATTCTAGATCGTGATAGTGATGGTGTGCTATCGGCCGAGGAGCTTCGTGATGCTGTCATGACGATTCTGCGCAAGGCTAACACCCAGGAGGATGTGGAATGGGTGATTTCGCACATCGATGAAGACAATGACGGCAAAAGTACGTTATCTTGCTGGTGATTTGGAGGTGGATTGGTACTAATCTGTTGTTATTTTTTATTTACAGTCGCTTTGGAGGAGCTGGTGGCCTGGATTGCCAAATGCCGTGAGAGTCTAGAGGCTACGGGCCGCATTGCACTGCAGGAGCCGACGGACGCCAACGCCGAAGCTGCAGCAGCAGCAGAAAGTGAGAAGGCGAAGATCGACAAGACAGAGAAGGCGAAGGTCAAGCGAGCGAACAGCCGCAAGAAGAAAGAGAAGGAACAGTAAGCTCTCCGAAAGCTGATGTTGCGATGGAGATAGAAGCCGCTGAGAGTGTGTGAAGTCCACATTGCTTAATCTTTCCAATAGATATATTGTTCGAAGCTTTTTGGCCTCTCTTCGCAATGTGTCACTATCCATCCATCTTGGTCAATGACCGTGCTGCGGTTCATTCAATAAGGTTTCTCGAAAGAAACAAAGATCTATGAAGTGCCATCGTCGGTGCCTTACAATGTTAGCCATTGGGTTGCTACCAGCTTCAGGTTTGGGCCACAGTTATGTATAATTTGTGATGGGTCCCTGTACCTCTTTGGAGGTGCGTCTTCATAATGCCATGCACGGATGTCATCATTATTTGACTTTTTTGTAGATTTGAAGGAGTTGTACAAGTTTAATATTGCACGAAAGGCGTGGTCATCTGTGCCAATACATGGAGAAACTCCAGTTAGCCGCACAGACTACTCTGGTGTCTTGTATCGGGACGACTTTTACGTATATGGGGAGCGTGGGGAGTCGGGTCACAATCGAAACGATCTCAAGTTTAACTTCGGTAAGCGCGATTTTATCAGCATAACGTGTTTTAATACTTACTGTATAGCATTTGTGTAGCCGGACATGCAAAAAATATATACAAGCAAAAAACTGACCAGTGAAGTTAAAACCTCAATTTCAAATTCAATACTTAAGCAAATCACATATGGCAACGTTACCTACTCGACATCTGCTTGAAGCCTGTCAATTATGTTGTCGGAGTCGTCAATAGTTTCTTCAACAACATTCGCCAGTTCCAATGCCTCCACCAAGTCGTTTTCCGGTTCTACAGTCTCAGTAACGGCGACAGCAGCACTGCTTCCGACCTTATGAAGACCTGAAAAGCCGCTTCGAATGACACTGCTGCCCAAACTACGCCATGAGCTCATAGCCCATGTGATTGCATCTTTTCGTTTCGGAGCGACTAGCTGGAAAGGGGTTTGCTCACGCTGCTCGTGGTGCGCTCGGAGCTGTTGCTGTAGTTCATTGACCCACTGACGTCGAAGCCGCTGTTTGAATGGACGAAACCACGAGATGTCTGCCGGTTGGCAGACCGAGGTGAGCCCTGGGGGAACCAGCATTAGATGCACACTTAGGTTTTTGGCGTGTTCTTTAACTTCATCTGTCCAATGGGCCGAAAAATCGTCCAGTAGAAGAAGGACTGGCAAACATTCCTCGCGATTAGCGAAAT